TCCTGTGCAGGCATCAGAATGTCCAGGGCGTTTAGCAGCATACGTTATGTGATGTGCAGATATCTGTTCACCAGTATGTAACGTAGCAACAACAACAACAACAACACAAGGAGCCTTGACCAAATCTCAAAATTATTGGGCAGTTGATGTTTACACGCCATGTAATCTGTGGCTGTGTGTCAATATAACCAGGTCATGTAATCTGTGGCTGTGTGTCAATATAACCAGGTCATGTAATCTGTGGCTGTGTGTCAATATAACCAGGTCATGTAATCTGTGGCTGTGTCAATATAACCAGGTCATGTAATCTGTGGCTGTGTGTCAATATAACCAGGTCATGTAATCTGTGGCTGTGTGTCAATATGGTCATGTGTGGGCTGTGTCAATATAACCAGGTCATGTAATCTGTGGCTGTGTGTCAATATAACCAGGCCATGTAATCTGTGGCTGTGTGTCAATATAACCAGGTCATGTAAATTGTGGCTGTGTGTCAATATAAATAACCAGGCCATGTAATCTGTGGCTGTGTGTCAATATAACCAGGTCATGTAATCTGTGGCTGTGTGTCAATATAACCAGGCCATGTAATTTGTGGCTGTGTGTCAATATAACCAGGCCATGTAATTTGTGGCTGTGTGTCAATATAACCAGGCCATGTAATTTGTGGCTGTGTGTCAATATAACCAGGCCATGTAATTTGTGGCTGTGTGAATATAACCAGGCCATGAATTTTGTGACTGTGTGAATATAACCAGGCCATGTAATTTGTGAATGTGTGTCAATAAAACAGTTGTTCCTCCGGTAAGGCAGTGTCATCATTTCGGGACAGCAGATTTAACCCAAGTCACTCGTACAATAACTCTCAAGCATTATACTGTCTTCTGCTTCCTCTCGTCCATGTTTCTTTCGTCAGTCTATATAAATGACGCTATTTTTTTCAACTTCCTAGCGTTCACCAGCTGTAAACTCTGGAAAAAAGTTCTGCTTGTTCTCCAATTCTGGACTTTGATTTGATCCAGAACTTGTTTGTGCACACATGTTTTACAAACATGGCTTATTTGTATGCAGAATGTTGGTTCCTTGCCTCTCAGGGACATGCACTCTGACATTGATGGAAACACACTAATCAGTTGCCTCCTATGACATGTTTGTTAAGAGGGTAGTGGGTCCAGTCTTTCTTCTCCAAAATGTGGCCCTGGACTTCATGTGGGGATTAATGCCATCCAATGGTGGTCTATTTATTCTTCATGCCTTTTAAACAAAAAATTACAGATGAGATGCATTTCTTCAGAAGATCTCGATAGGTCATGAATAAATCAGATACAACATGATGAAATCAGATACAACATGAAGAAATAAGATACAGCATGATGAAATCAGATACAACATGATGAAATCAGATACACCATGATGAAATCATATACAACATGATGAAATCAGATACACCATGATGAAATCAGATACAACATGATGAAATCAGATACAACATGATGAAATCAGATACAACATGATGAAATCAGATACACCATGATGAAATCAGATACAACATGATGAAATCAGATACAACATGATAAAATCAGATACAACATGATGAAATCAGAAAGAATGAAGTACCCCTTAAACTGTTTCACAGACCAGCAACAAATGGAAAACACTGGCTTTAACCTTAAACTAATTTATATTCCATGTGCAGGTTCCAAACCCCATTGCCGGAAAAACAAGAATAGACCCACTGCCGACCCAAAAAGCATATTGTAAGAGCTGACCAACTGGTGGGCTTTCCTCAAATTTTCAATGTATCTGACAGAGCAATAAGAAACAACCAACTACACACAAATAAGCCAGTGAAACAGATGTACATGCAAAACTCAGGCCCTGGCACAAAGCCAAAGTCCAAATGGATGAACAACCAGAACTTTCAGCAGCTTACAGCTGGTGAAGAAGAAGAAGAAATTCATTTATAACATTAAGTAGGAGGTCAAGGTAGTCCCATAGCGGATACTATTGTTAGCATCTTGTTATTAATGTTATAAATAACTTTATAGTGTAGGCAAGTGTTAAACATTTTAAAGTTAGGATATCTAACAGGCAGACAGATAGATGGTTCTGCAGCACTTGTTGTTAGTGAGTTCATGCATGATGTGACGAGCTAGATGTTCTAAGCATCCTCTGGGGATTGGAAAGGAAAGGGGGGGGGGGGGGGTGTGCGCGAGGGAAGAGTTCGAAAGCAGAAAAATTATCAGTCTGAGGGTAATAGTACTGTAAGGAGTCAATACGGAATTTTTTATTCATTGATCAACACTTGAGGAAAAAATGTAATGGGTAATACCATCGAATGTTATTGGCGGCATTGGAACTTAAACTCTGCACTTGCTGCTGAAGATGGGGACAGAGTAATTATGGGAAATGTCCCAAGTGCTGTGACGACAATTTCTTAATTCTATATGTGTTAGGACATCAAGTCTCATGCCTTCACTTATTTTAGGTCCCAACATATAAGGAAGGGTGATCAGCCCTCTTTACTTTTTTTTTTTAACCTTTTACAAAGTTGTGAAAACTGACCAGTTCCGATGTTTAGGACTGTCCAGTCCCCATGTTTAGGACAGTCCAGTTCCCATGTTTAGGACTGTCCAGTCCCCATGTTTAGGACAGTCCAGTTCCCATGTTTAGGACTGTCCAGTTCCCATGTTTAGGACAGTCCAGTTTAGAACCCCATCCTTTAGGACTGTCCAGTCCCCATGTTTAGGACTGTCCAGTCTCCATGTTTAGGACTTTCCAGTCCCCATGTTTAGGACAGTCCAGACCTCATGTTTAGGACTGTCCAGTCCCCATGTTTAGGACTGTCCAGTCCCCATGTTTAGGATAGTCCAGACCTCATGTTTAGAACTGTCCAGTTCCTATGTTTAGGACTGTCCAGACCTCATGTTTAGGACTGTCCAGTCCCCATGTTTAGGACTGTCCAGACCTCATGTTCAGATGTTTAGGACTGTCCAGTCTTTATGTTTAGGATTTTCCAGTCCCAGTTTAGGACAGGACTGTCCAGAACTGTCCACCTCCTATGTTTAGGAGTGTGAAGTCCTCAGGTTTAGGACTGTCCAGTCCCCATGTTTAGGACTATCCATTCCTCATGTTTATAATTATCCATTCCCTATGTTTTTATGACTGTCCAGTCCCAATTTTCAGGACTGTCAAGTCCTCATGTTTATGACTGTCCAATCCTCATGTTTATGACTATCCATTCCCTATGTTTAGGACTGTCCCGTCCCAATTTTTTAGGACAGTGAAGTCCTCATGTTTAGGACAGTCAATTCCTCATGTTTAGGCTGGCTCATCCCTGCAGCCACACTGGTTGCGGACACAATAATCCTGCTTCTTCTGGAGGGGGTTAAACTTAGACCAGTGTCTTTACAGAAAAAGTATATCAATCACAGGTTTAGGTTTAAGCAGCGGATCAACATCATGGCATGTAAATAGTTAACTCTTAATCTGTAACAGTAAATTAAAGAGACAGAAACCCTGTACATGACACTCTGATCCTATAGGAGTTAATGTTGTTGAAAAATGTTTATATATTAGCAACATTGGGTGAATATTAGGGGTTGACAAAATAAAGCTATCTTAAACAAAATTAGAATGAAGAGAGGGGATATAACTATGATTAAGATCTAAGAAATAATATAATTTCCGCACATAAAAATACAAAATAGGAAAACTTTAATAAGTGTTAAAAAAAAAAAAATACATGCCGTTTTCTTGCAGCCTGTCATTTGCTGATTAAATTACTACAGGCTTCACCCATTTATTGATTAAAAAAAAAAAAAAGCAGATAGCGCTGCATCTCTCTGGTGCATGCCAAAAGTGGGGTAGCCATCTTTAAACTGTCATTATAACATCACCATGTTCATATGCACTTGGAAGTCATGTTCTTAACACCCTGACATCCCTAATAACAAACTGACTTGTTACAAGATGTTTTCATTTGAAGCCGCTATATATCAAGTTTAAAAATCCTGCTTGTAACAAAACTTGCAGACAAATGTATAAAGAGGAAAACACGGGGAACAAAGGTGAAATCCTCATCTTTAAAAAAATGGACAAGAATAAAGTGGGGGGAAAACATTTAAAAACTGGACTGGAAAAAAATGCCAACATACAATCTTGATGAGTGATTGAATATGACTGATATCCATGGCTGCTGAACTATGGAAGAAAGACAGCAACTGACTGATCCTATATATGCCAGAGGAGATAAATGTTGACATTAGTGATCAGAGTTACTCAACCACATGACTAGAATACTCTCAGGTTAATCATAACTCACAGTCTGTCATCTCCTTCACCCTGAGTTGCAGAAGCACAAAACAGACCACAAAACCATGTTTAATTCCAGCAAAATATTTTGTTTAATAAACAAAAGCATCGTTTTAAAATGCTCTGTTCTATCAGAATTGATAGTTAATCAGTTTCAAAAACAAAAATAACAACTTAAAGATGGCAGATACCAGTTAATTTAAATGTGGAGGTGGTAAAAAGGTAAAAGAATATGTAAGACACACAAAGGCAATTATTTTATGTTAAAAAAGCATCTTTTCAGGACAAATTCTGTGAAGATTTCAACTAACTTTAACTGACAGCAGCTTTTTTTTCCTTTTCTATAAATCTATTCAGACTGATGTATGACAATGTTCAAATAAGGAGGAGGGGGAGGAGGAGAAGAAGAATAAGGAAACAAAAAGACCCTTTAGGAGAGTTTTCAACTAAGATGTTATGAAAGTACAGATGATGTAACAGCAACAGGCAATTTATTCAAAATGTCACAGCAGTTTACACATAAAACCTCTAAAACAAATATCAACATAAAGTAAAATTTTAACCAGTATTGTAACAATGTTGCCGGTATATTTCAATCTCAATAAATTTGTAACAAAAGTTTGTTTCATTAACTGTTCATTTATTTGCAGAATTAAATGCGTAGTTTTTCAGGTGTGGCAACTCAATCATCATTGGTTCAAACTGTGAGAGGAAATAGACCCAACAGTGTATGGTTTCTGGTAGATAGACCAGGCTGTGATTGTTGCACTTGTCACAGCCACAGCGACCTTCTCTCTGAGGTAGAAATCTGGGTGGCCCTCAAACTCGTCCAGCCTTTGCAGTTTTGATTCGCTGACCTCGTAGACCTCTCCCTGAACATACTGAAAATTTAGAATATGATTAGTTTAACTGATTAAGTAACATGGAATGAGCGTAAAGGCTTCTTCTTCTTCTGCTTATCTTCTTTATTTCCTCTTTCATTGTGTGGATTCCAGGGCCCAGTGTTGAGCAAGAAATTAATGGACTCCTGACCAAGTGTAGCGCAAGATGCAAATAATCTGAATTTGCTGCTGAAATTGAATGTGTTTGGCCAAAAGATGCTAATACTACAGCCTAGCTGAAAACCACAATACATGCCAGCCACCCTTTTAAAGGCCAACACAGAAGAAGAGGATAAAGACTTTCTTTTCTGCCGCTTTCGGGGTTAGGGAGATCTCCGGTTCTGCCTCTTGCTCAAATTGTATTAAGGCTATTCCAAAATCAACCTCCGACTGGCTGGTAAAAATGTACTGTCTGCAACACCATTCATAGCTTGCATCATTCAGTAACCTTTCAGCTAATCACACACCAACATATAGTGTCACTATTTGTCCTGCCAGCTGTAACATGTCAGTCAACATAAGTAGCTTGATACAAAATTCCTTTTTTATTTTAAAGCCATCTTTCTTTTGCGAACTCCAGCAAAATAAACACACTGACATTTTTCTAAGCTCTCCCATAATACTGTTTAAACACAATCCTTATTATTAAAAACTTGTACCAAGCTCATCAATTAAAAACAGACACAATCCTCATTAATAAAAACAGACACAGGCTTCATTAATAAACACTGACACAAACATCATTAATAATTTTTAAAAAACAGACACAAGCCTCATTACCAGAAACCGGCACTAGTCACACTGATAAAAACAGAAACTAATCTAGTTAAATATAAACAGATACTTGTCTGGCTAATGAGAACAGTCTAGTTCATGTAACAGATACCTGTCTGGCTAATGAGAACAGTATAGTTCATGTAACAGATACTTGTCTGGCTAATGAGAACAGTCTAGTTCATGTAACAGATACTTGCCTGGCTAATGAGAACAGTCTAGTTCATGTAACAGATACTTGTCTGGCTAATGAGAACAGTCTAGTTCATGTAACAGATACTTGCCTGGCTAATGAGAATAGTCTAGTTCATGTAACAGATACTTGCCTGACTCTGAGTCTAGTTCATGTAACAGATACCTGTCTGGCTAATGAGAACAGTCTAGTTCATGTAACAGATACTTGTCTGGCTAATGAGAACAGTCTAGTTCATGTAACGAGATACTTGTCTGGCTAATGAGAACAGTCTAGTTCATGTAACAGATACTTGTCTGGCTAATGAGAAACATCTAGTTCATGTAACAGATACTTGTCTGGCTATGAGAACAGTCCCTAGTTCATGTAACAGATACTTGTCTGGCTAATGAGAAGTCTAGTTCATGTAACAGATACCTGTCTGGCTAATGAGAACAGTCTAGTTCATGTAACAGATACTTGTCTGGCTAATGAGAACAGTCTAGTTCATGTAACAGATACTTGTCTGGCTAATGAGAACAGTCTAGTTCATGTAACAGATACTTGTCTGGCTAATGAGAACAGTCTAGTTCATGTAACAGATACTTGTCTGGCTAATGAGAACAGTCTAGTTCATGTAACAGATACTTGCCTGGCTAATGAGAACAGTCTAGTTCATGTAACAGATACTTGCCTGGCTAATGAGAACAGTCTAGTTCATGTAACAGATACTTGCCTGGCTAATGAGAACAGTCTAGTTCATGTAACAGAAACCTGTCTGGCTAATGCGAAACAGATACACCTGGCTAGTGAAACCTGTTAGGCTAATGAAAAATAGATACCAGTTCAGCAATTAAAACTTCTTTCTTCTGTATCTGTGCTCCTTTAAAAAAAAAAAGTTAGTCTGGCTGATCAGAACAGTCAGCGTTAAATTAAAAAATGACCTTAGCCTGGCTTATAAAACAGTGAAAGTATCATGGCTAATAAGTGCAGACAAACATCTCTGTAAAGAAAACATTAGGAAATCTGTGTAATTAAAAAAAAATAACAAAGTTTAGCTTATGAAAACAAACTTCTTTATCTTTTTCTTTTGACTCCTCTTCTACTTCCTCATTTGACCTTAGAAGGGTATTTGGCATATTGTGTTAAGGTTTCAGACAGACTGTGATACATGTCTTTTTTTGGCCTAATATGTCATATTTCATCCAATACCTAACTGGTCACTTCTTATGATATGCTTATTAGGGCGACAGTGGATCTATTATTCTCTCCCGAGTGGTTGAAAGGGCTGAATGTAGGACGGGACTGAGTGCCCAATTTGTAACCCTTTGGAAAAAAGTTTGTATATTCGTTGTTTATTCATTTCCCCTCCCCCTTCAAGGTGGATAAAGACCCTTTGCTGCTCTAAGCACTCGAAGATTTTAGTGTTCTCTCCCTCCTCCAAAAGCTCTCTTAACAGGATTGTGAGCCTCTGGGCCCGAGTGTGTTAGGGTTCTATGACAGCCACTCACATAAATGAAATGTAAATGGTTCACCGACACAGACAGATTAGCATGGAGCCCCTTATACTCGTGGGGCCCACGGGCAAGTGCCCATGTGTTAAGACGGCACTGGTGATCCCCCCTTCTCCTTCCCGAAATATATATATTATATAATTTGAAATATAAAGAATCATAAACTAGATAATACAATTTTATTTTGCGAAATTAATCAAACCTTACAGTAAGATGGAAGATAATATCTATTTGTGTATACTTCCATTTTATTTATATCTGTAATGTGTTCGCTTACTTTTTGTATTTAAAAAAAATGCAGTTTTTGCTCAAATCTTCAAAACTAATCTTATATTATACATCTGCTTCTGTAATCAACAGAGAAAAAGCACCCAGCCTGTCTTGTTTTGCACGCTGTTTTGATGGAATTTTTAAAAAATATACTTCAACTGAAAAAAAAAAAAATGTTTAACTACAAGGCTACTGAAAGTTTATATGGTGCCCCTTCCTTTGTGATGCTCTAAGCACATAATCAGTGTACTTAATCTGCCCTGCACCCCCCTTCCCCATAGTCCTCCCACAAAATGGGGCGCTGAAAGCCTCAGTGGGAAAGAAAACAGGCAAAATGTTGGAGTTCAAAACAAGTCATGCTAATCAAAAGAAATAATTTTGAAGGAATAAACAACCATGATTAAATATTCTACTGACCTCGCCTTTACCCTCAACTGGTAGCAGAAATGGGAAGGAATGCTGTGGCGTAACAACCAAGGGATATCTTTTGACTGTCTGTCCAAAAGCCAAAAATCTGGCAAGACCAGTTTTGGGATCACTCAATACCCTAAAATTTGATTGGCCTGACTTCAGAGTTCCATACAAAAAGACAATATGCTTTGCTGCCATTCACTGAAAAGAAATACAAAAATTTTTTAAAAGAAATTAGTGTGCATCTTTTATTAGAAAAACAATCAGCAAGTCGGGTTAGAATTTAAACCTTTCACTCTGGTGACCTAGGGGAAAAAAAACCCATAAAGCCAGTCTTATTCTTCTTCACTTCCTCTTTTACCACTGTGGGTGTCGAGGGAGATATAACGTTCTGTCTCTAGCTCTTCTGGCCGCCTCGACCATAGGCACATCGTGCTGTTGTAGAGTTGCTCTGATGTTATCCTTCCATCTTGTTCTTGGTCTACCTCGTGCTCTACGTCATTCTTCTCTTTCCATGTATGCTTTGTATGGTATGGTGTCACAATGCATTCTCTCTAAGTGGGCAAACCATTTTACCTGCTGTCTTCGTATGTAATTTAGAATTGGTTCTGTGCCGACTTTTCCTCTTAAAATCTCATTCCTGATCTTATCTCTTATGGTCACTCCTACAGCCCTTCTCAGACATCTCATCTCCATGTTTACTAATTTTATTTTATGGTTTGTTGTGAGTGACCATGTCTGGCACTGGTAGCACAGAGTTGGATAATATATAAATAAAGCCAGTGATTTAGCGAATTCTGCTTTCTGTGTTACCATTAGTTGTAATAGGAAATGTGATGTTCACAAGGAACCCTATTCCCCCTTTCCTCCCACCCCTTCCCACAATGCTATTTTCAGTTAATACAATCAATTCTGGTCCTGTCAAATGCTAGCGCAGGCACAACTAATACCAGTGCTGTGCTTCTTAAAACATGCCTCTACAGCAAGTCGGTGGGTAAGGCAAATCTCACTGGGGACTGGACCAAATAAAAGTGCTGGTTTTGGGGCTTTTCAGGGTGACAGGACTAACGAAACTAAATAAGATGATGCCAGAAAACAAGAGAGAGCCACGGTGGTGTAGTGGCTAGATGTTCACCTGTGGATAGGAAGGTCATGGTTTCGGCTACTGATGGAGCCAGACTAAAAAAAAATTAATGACCTTAGTTCTCAGGTTCACCCAGCCTTGAGTGGGTACCAGGTACAGGCATGGGAAGCAAAGGCACCTGGCTTGATGCTGAACCTATCATCCATCAAGGAGTTGAAAAGGGATCCTTGACTTTAAGAATATAACAATTATGGTAATCTTAAGAAGAAGCAAATATCACAATGCAACACTGAAGTAAATGGGAACAGTCTAAAACTTTTGAATCTTAGAAGTTGCAACTTTATGGAAAATCCTAACACCTCAAAATACATTTTACTTTTTAGAGATTAAACAAACATCAACAGTGCAACATTAGTCTTCTGAATAATGGAAAACAACATCATCATCATGTAGCAGTTTCTTTACAGATGGTAACTCACGCCTAAAAGAAAACTTATCTCTCTCCAGCTCACCCCCCTTCTGCACTTGTCTACCCAAGATGTTTCTTATATTCTGTGCCCATCTTTGTTGTGGTCATCCCCTGCCCATTTGGTATCATGCTCTCCATTGCTATTTATTTTCCAATTCGACATGGCACTGGATATGGCTTCAAATATGTCAATTTTCAAGGCAAGATGCTACACACTTTACAGTGTAACTGCTCAGGACTACTTGACTTAGATCTAGCATTAATATCAGCAAACACAGACATATGTTTATGCTCTTACATTTCGGCAGGACTCGGCACACCTTGGCTCAACCAGCAAGACGATGTTGAAATCTCCTTTGATTGAAATGAGGTAAAAGTGAACATTATTATTACATTTGTTTTTAATTTTAGCAATGCAAACTTAAAGTGGCATCATACGAGTTAATAGACTGAAATGGCTGAGGCATACTGAGAGAATGTCAGATAACAGAGAGGTTAAAAAAATGTGTAATCAAGAAAGTTGAAGGGTCATAGACCATAAGGCAGACTAAGAAAACTGTGAAGAGAGAACAGACAGGCAGACCTGCAAACAATCGGAGTCACCAAGTGGAAAGAGAGGACTTATCAGAGAGACAAATGGATGTGGGTGACATCTGCAGCAAGGGCTCGGAATGCTGAAGAAGAAGAAGAAGATTAAACTGTACGAAATACTTATTGCATTGGAAATGGACTACTGAAATGTTTGAAACTGCAAAGATGAAGCAGAGGCCAGACACCTTGAAAGATGAAGGTGGGTCAGCTATCACAAAAGATGAAGCAGGGGTCAGCTGAAATAAGTGTGGATATTAGACATTACAGACATTTATTTATAATGTGGTAATGGGGAGGTAGGAGAGTGGGAATGGTAGGAGAGGGGGAGAGGGATTGAGAATCCTTCGGTCAAAAATAAAAAAGACTGCTGTTTTTATTTTTTTCTTATAAGGTTAAAGAATTCTTAGCAGACATCATACCAATAAAACAACAATCTCTTTTAACCACATTTATCAAAGACAGGTCAAACCACAAATGTGAAGTAAAGGCAGGGGTCTTGTGGTATAAGGTTTTCAAGCTGACCATAATTTTGTGCTCTACATCTAAAATTATTTTGAGAAATCTTTCAATGAATTTAAAAAAACCTGAAACAGAGCAGATCAAAGGTTACGACCTTCACCTTTGGTTCACGTAGACCTGGTTTTTTAAACAGCATGGGCTGGTAATTTTAATTTCAGCTTCATAGCTTCGCTCAGCTCCTGCGCCAACAAAAAACACACAGAATGTTTATCGCAGTCCCTTGTGGAAAGACTGACAAACTGCTGTCTCAGCAAATCTAGCATACACTCGCATTAAAAGCATATGGTAGCCATCCGAAGTGCTAACACAAACAGTCTGACATTAGAAATGCAGTTCATCATTGATGGTAGCAGAAGTCACCAAAAGATCAGCAGTTTCACACGAGATCAATTTTAATCAAATAATGGCCCCGCCAATATTTCGACAACCGGCATCGCGCTATTTTCTGAATCTACAAATCACACCAACACGTTGGTCAGTCGAAAAACATTCCAAATAAAATCTGCAGCTCACAGGGTCAGCATAGGCTGAGTACATGTTTTAAAATATGAAAAGAATGGTATACCACTCCCTGGTCATGTTGACTGAAAGTATAACTCCAGGCAAATTAGGGCAACAAGCCACTAATGAAAATCTACGGACAAAAAGAGTATTTAGTGTGTGCATTTCTGTTTCATATACACTTAGATAAAGTTAGATCCTTGTCAGCCATACGGAATTTTGCACAATGTGCGTAGATTCTCGTTGTGTGATCAACAGCAGCAGACAAGACCACATAAAGATGATATGTATGTACAACACAATTTTATGTAATCTTGATTTTAATTTCTCTAAAAAATCAATATTTAATATCACTATCACTAATCTGCGTCTTAAGTGAGGTACAGTCAAACATTATTGTGGCAGCGGTAAACAATCAATTTTTTCTGTTTATTGGGGAAGGGGGGGGGGGGGGGGGGGGGGGAAATTAAGCACAGAAAAGTGAAATAAAAAAAATGGTACTCCTGTCAAATCCGGACGAAGAATAAAAAGCCTTGGACGACTTAGTCAGAGTTCTCTCCCGTGGCCGCACCCCAAACAGTGATCGGAAAAGCCACAACGAAACAAAGAAGACAGTCACGTCGACATCAGGGCTGCCAATGCTTGGTTCTTTCCCCCAGATCTGGGTTTTTTTTCGACGCTGCAGGACAAATCTGGTTTTTTTTTGGGTGTGTTTTGTTTGTTGGTGTTTGCCGATTTGTATGCGTTAATGATCGATAAATTTGCGTGGTTAGGGGTAGGGGTTAGGGTTAGGGAGTAGGATTAGGATTAGGGTTAGCGGTAGGGTTAGGTTTAGCGTTAGATTTGACAATTTTGACGCCGGAGTACCCTATAATCGCGCAAAGTCCCATACACACACAAACAATCGAGGGCCTCTGGATGCTGGTAAAACGCACAATTCGCCAACGATTGGGGGCACCAGCCGCACGCTATTGGCGTCATATTTGGCAGAGTTTCAGTGGCGCCACTCCCACAAACATCAGATTGTCGGCCAGTATTTCGAAATCCAACATCAAAATTTTCACATCTAACCCGTAACTCTACCCCATAACTCTAACCCCTAACCTACCCCTAAACCCTAACCCTAACCCTAACTCTAACCCAACAACCGCATGATGATGACTACACAACCATTCACAATGCCTCACGAAACCGTACGCAGCCCTACACGCAACCGCAGGATGATAGGTAAGTGTGTCGTTTATTTCGTTTGTTTTCCGATTACTGTTCGGAGTGCGGCCAAGGGAGAGAACTCTGACTAACTCGTCCACGGCTGTTTACTCTTCGTCCGGATTTGACAGGAGAGCCAAAAAAATATTCATTAAATTCATGGGGTAGATGAGATGCCATGCATATGAATTATTATTATGACTGCAACAATAGAAGAACCTTATGTCAGTTGGTTGATGGTCTATATTCTATTGGGAATACGTGGAAAAAGAAGAACTCTTATTACGGGACACAGTTAACTTACCGAAAAACTTAGAACAGGTCTTGTTGTTTGGTTTTTCTGTCAACAGTCGCAGTTTTTTTGTAACTGAGTTTTTTACTTATTTAACACAGAACTGGACACTTTATTCTGTGGATAAGAGTCAGTTATTGACCTGTCTAGCACAGAATTGAATTAATAAACTGTAGATACAACCAGAAGATGTAGACAGGTGTAGCTCTCAACGGTTGAGTTTAGTTTCCGCGTGACTTCTAGTGTTACAGTCAATCTAGCTCTTGTAAACAAATTATCAGGTTGCTAAGAAAGGAAACAAAAATAAGTGCAGCCGGAAGTGCTGCCGAAAATAGGCTCGAAGTGAGAAAATGTGTAGTGTGCTCCATTTTGGGCTCCCCATGATGACCCCTTCCCCCTCCCCGTCCCCCAGATCTGGGTTTTCTAGTTGCCGTCTGGTTTTCTGGGTTTTTTCTTGGTGGGTTTTTTTCTCTCCAAAAATTTAGAAAATCTTGGATTTTCAGTCCTATTGATGTAAAACTACAAATAATAAATATTTTAACAAGAATAATGTGTGTTCATGTAATGATGTATCTATAATAGTTTTACTAGAAAAAAAGTATTTTGGAACGTTGTACAAACACTTAGAATAAAAGTAAAGTCTGTGAAATTGATGTAATAGAATATAAGAGTTAACTCCAGGGTTAACCACCAAAAGAATCTCCACGCGCCTGATCTGGTGCAGGCGTTAGCAATCATTCACGGCCCTCTGTTTTTTTTGATAATAAATAAGTTTTATTTTATCATTGTTGAATCTGTTTATGTTCGACGCTTTGCCCTTTTCGGGATGTCTCGCAGTACTATCCCGACAGTTACATAATCGATGGTTTGCTCTTGTTGGGGACGGGGGGGGGGATGTTGTAATACTTATTTTTCTCAATATTCACTATTTCGGTACCAAACATCACTCCTAAGTTATGGTAGGTTGCCATATTAACAGCTCAAACCGTCTTGACGCATTGAGCCGCTGGGCACTTATAGGGGGCCCCTCGAGTATAAATGACCCATGCCAATCGAACATTTACAATTCATTCCTGTGAATGGTTGTCGTACGGCCTGAGGGCTACAGCACGGTGGTTTGCCCAGGAGCCTATATTGCTTTTAAGACGGTTCTGTCGCTTTGAAGTCTTTTTCTGGGCTCTGTAATGGGGTCAACAACACCCAGGTCGCACGACACTCGACCTGGTACTCACTCAAGATTCATCTGATCTGATCCCACGACCATTGGAACCGCAAGCGAGCATCTAGCCGCTCCACAGGGGGCGGCTCCCTGACACCTTCTGACCTTAATATTAATTAGGTGAATTCTGAAAAAGATACTATAGCCGCCGTAGCAACGAAAGGATCGACCATGTGAATTTGGCAGATGACCAGTATCCAAGAATTACATTCACTGAATGGGGAACTCAGGAGAATGCACGGAATGAGTATTTTGCGTGTCTACAGAAAGTGCTGAAGTAGTCACCAGTCCTCGACCTTACGAGTTTTAAGTAATGAGTACATAAATTAGTCTGACCCAGGCTAAAAAGGCCTTCATCAGTATGTTTACAGCGCCAACAATGATACATTTACTATTCGCTAATCACCTGAAGGCCATAACTCAATGTACAGATTAGAACAGTATTGCAAAAACATACAGTACAGATTGCATAAACGGGAACCAACAGAAAGTTCTTGGAGAGCGAGACACATGGGAGGAGAAACGACAGAACTGTAGTAAAAAAGTAAAGCTGTGTGTGAAAGTATAAAGGCAGCCGAGACTGTGAACTTTGCTTTTTTCTTCTTTGCTTTCGCCAGCTGTAAACTACAGCAGACACTTCTGTTTGTTTGTCCAGTTAAGGACTTCAGTCTTGGTTCAGAACTCGAGTTTTGCGCGCACATTCGTTTTACAGATTTGGCTTATTTGTATGCGGACTGCTGTGCCAGAATCAAAACATTGAAGTCAAGCTAGCCATCAGCTGGGATGACGTCAAGTAACCATGGCAGCCATTGGCTCCTCACATCTCTTTCCGGATCACAGAACTTCATGCCCACAAACTCAATTTTTCTGTCTTACAGCGCCACATATATATGTCAATTAAAATTTTACCTAGTATAGTAACATCAAACAACAATGTTTGCTATATTGGCCTTCCTCTTCCTCCCCAGGCAAACCCTATGTTTTCTATCAACGACTTCTGACCATTATTTTCACTTTATAGCCAATCTTCAATATTTCAGCTCTTGGTATGCTATTTTCAGTCTTTTGTCAATGTTACTTTTCTATATACTATATATCCTTATGTATTAATCACACTAAACATCAACTTTTCCTTTCTAGAGGGATAATTTACAACGCATTATTATCAATTCTTTTGAGTGACTAAAACTGGAGGGTTATCTGTCTATCAAGAAATCTAGCAAGAAATGTACTTAAAACATGGACATGTGGTTTTTCTAACACTGAGATGTCCCTGGTGGAAAAGTCAGTGATGATCAATGAGCCAATCAGCGAGGCCGTTATAGCGGAGGTTGGGAGAGAGGAGCAGACGTACAGTTTGATGTTGACGGAGTAGCGACATGAATAACCACAACCACAACAATCATTTCAACCATTACAGCAATCATTCCAAGTCTAAACCTGAGGTAGGCCCTTGTTTGATTGTTGTTCCCGTTCTCTGTTTGATTACGTCTTTTTCTTTGCTGTCCATTTCTAGGTAGACCATAGTGTCATGTTTTTGCTGCGATGTCTAAGTGTTGTTTTCTTGTTGTTGATGGTGATTTCTGAATCACGATCGAGTACTTTACCTATCATATGATGGGGTCGCGGAGAAATATTAATAAATAATGCAAGAAATAATGATTTAAACAGGTATATCAATCATCGTTATGGTATATTTTCGGTAGAATGTTATTTGATCGCCATTTCTGCCATTATCATATACTAAGCGCTTATATAATAATAGTCGGTTCATTTGTCTAGTCCAAGGATCACTGCTGTTTTTCATTTCATTTTTGTGGTTTAATTAATCAACAGTGCCAGTCCCTTGATAACCGTATTTTGTAATGTTATAAAGGAAAATTGAGCAATCGGCAAGACATGCAACAACAACAACAACAACAACAAAAAAACAAGTTGACCCTAGTCACTTGATTCAAAACATCATCCTGCTGACTGTTGGTTTTACCCTAACATGTCAGCTATTTGCTTTAATTAGTTTAATGATTAGGAAAAAATAGGAAAAAAAAAAAGACAGATCTAAACATAGCAATAGAATACAAAGACATTAAACAGGCATCTGAGTTTAAATATCTGGGAACTATATTTACCGAAGATGGGAAATTGGATAAAGAAATTGACATTAGATGCAGTAAAGCAAACCAAGTATTGGGACAGCTAGCCCCCCTCTTACAGCATAAGACAATCCCAATCAGCACAAAGAGACATCTTATTCAAAGCATATTTATTCCAACTCTGTGCTACCAGTGCCAGACATGGTCACTCACAACAAACCATAAAAGAAAATTAGTAACCACGGAAATGAGATGTCTGAGAAGGGCTGTAGGAGTGACCATAAGAGATAAGATCAGGAATGAGATCATAAGAGAACAAGTCGGCACAGAACAATTCTGGATTACATACAAAAGACAGCAAGTGAAATGGTTTGCCCACTTAGAGAGAATGCCTTGTGACACCATACCATACAAAGCATACATGGAAAGAGAAAAAGGACGTAGAGCACGGGGTAGACCAAGAACAAGATGGAAGGATAACATCAGAGAAACTCTACAACAGCACGATGTGCCTATGGTCGAGGCAGCCAGAAGAGCTAGAAACAGAACCTTATATCTCCCTCGACACCCACAGCGGTAAAAGAGGAAGTGAAGAAGAAGAAGAATGATTAAATTAATCTGTTCTCATTTTAAGGGTTGGGGGAGAGGGGAAGGGAGTAAACACTCTGCCCTTTAACTTGCTCCCTATAAAAGGTGACTGTTTTAAGTGTTTCATGAAATCAGAGGCTCTATTTTGAACGGAACCTTAAAATGGCGGCCGTAATATGATGCCGTTCGAAAGAGAGCTAAATTGGCCACATTCTGGCCATAAAATATCCAAAAATATCAGAATGCGGCTCAGTTCTATTAAAAATATATGTGCCGGCTACGTATAACGAAACTAATGCTCTATCAGGGTCTCGGCGATATGTTACTTGCGGACCTGCTTCTGCGAGTGTGCCTCACCTCCGACCGTATCCCCCGCGCCGCGCGTAGCGACGCGGATGGGGACTAAACTAGATGGCTGGGACTCACCAGCAGCAGCTACCGCATCTCCTGCAACTTCCTCCAGTTACTTTACTCGTGAGTCCCAGGCACCTAGTTTAGCCCCCCCCCCCCCCCATCCGGGCCGCGTGTAGCGGCGCGGGGGATATGCTCGGCGATGAGTTTAATCGCGTTTGGCGCATGCCGACAAGTCTGACATCTACCGCTGCTAAATCCTCCCATCAGAAGAACACAGTATTGCTAATCGGCTTTCATCGTCTGTAATGTCTCGAAATTGGTCAACGGTCGCTAATATCGTCTGCTAGTATCGTCGTCTGCAGAAACGCTCGAAATTGTCAACTGTCGGCATTTATCGTCTGCTACTACCGTGTGCAATGTTGATATTGATTGTCAAGTAATCCTAGTTTTGCCGCGATTTGTGCCTTGGCAGAAAGTCCGTATTTTAGATATGCCTGAACACCGTTCGGATATTTTTTGGATATTTTATGGGCAGAATGTGGTATCATATTACGGCCGCCATTTTAAGGCGCTGTTCAAAGTAGAGCCAAATCAGATATTGGGTCTAAAGGCGAGGATGAAGCAGCCTATCTGTAAACCACAACGCAATATGCCAAACATCCCTGTGAGGTACAAGAATAAAAAGCTATTTGTGTGACATTCACAAAGATCGGGATGTGTGTTTAGGCTTACAAATTTTTGCATGTGTGCGCCGTAATAGGAGGCAAAATCCAAGATGTGAGCTGGAGAGATAACTTTAGCTGTTACGTGGTAACCTTTAAAAGGATAAGGTCATGTTAACATTGCCGAAGAAGGACTTTAGCCAGTCGACAAGGTACTTCATGATGTTTTCCACTGTCAGCAAAAACAAAAAAGCAGTGCCACACATTTTCCGCATTAGCAAAAAGAAAACATCATTCTTAAACGAATAGGGTGATTTTTGGAGGGCTTGAATGAATTCAAATGATTTATGTTGATTTTAATGGGAAAATAATGTCAGGATCATCATCAATCAGCACATCTTTTACAGAACGTTGCTGTCTTCGCCTTAAGCTCTCTCTTTCTCTAGCCAGTTCTCCATCCCTGCATGTTTTGACAGCCAATGCATCTCCCATGTCCTATGTCCACATTCCCAGAGGTTAGCCTCTACCTCATTTTCCAGAAACTGCACCCTTCACCACAGTTCTCTCCAGACCATCATGACGCTTGACATGTCCAAAATGTCTCAGCTTTCGGGAGAGGATGGTGTTTCCCAGTGTCAGGATACAAGTTATTCACCGTATGGTTCCGTCATGGGATCAGATATATTTGTATTCCAACATGCCACTTTATATTTTCAGTTGAGTCTTTAAGCGTCCACTCTTGACAGTTTAATATGTTTTTAAAAGCAGCGGAGAATAACTTTCTTTATATTTCTGTGTTCACCAACTTGCTGTGTATGTTTACCACATACGCATCAAATTAACACCATGCTGTCAGAGTTGTGTTATATGGCTAAGAGGTAATGACACAGCCTCAAGTAACAATGACAGCATATATTAAATATCTTCAAATGTTTCAGTTGATCAGCTTTCTTGCTTTATCTCAGGAAAAGGCCAGAAGAAAACGACGGAACAACTCCAGAAATGGAGCTCCACCCAGCAGCTTTGATTGGACGATTGTAAGTTTGAATTTAACACATTTTGTTTTCAAGTGATCTATAGCTTTCTGTAGTAGTCCTTTGGCAGATAATTTGGATGGGATAAATGTAGTAAAGACATTGGATAAGAAAAGTATTGTGATAACAGCTGATATCAACAGCTGTAAGACAAAAGGAGGACAATCTACTGGCCACATTCTGGGGAGAAGTGAACAGAGAAATCACAAGACAAATGGGAAACACTTGGAAGGAGGAGGTGTGGTCATCAAAGAGAAACCTTTAGATATATATTGTTGAGAGACGCCAAAGGTCTTTTCTGGATTTTATCGATGATATTAAAACAGCTGCACAAGGTAGAGTGTGCTCGAAGAAGGAACTGCGAGCCATATGGGACGTATAATAGCATAACAGGGTGATTATGATGCAGACAGATACTTTCGTGGGATGTGAAGTAATAATGTTGGGGGAAAATAGTGTGATACTAACCACATCACTAGGATGACCATGTTTTCTTGAACTGACAACGGAACATCCCACTAATAATTTGAACTGAAAACAGGACATCCCACTAATAGTTTGAACTGAAAACGGGACATCCCACTAATATTTTGAGCTGAAAACGGGACATCCCACTAATATTTTGAGCTGAAAACGGGACATCCCACTATTATTTTGAGCTGCGAACGGGTCATCCTGATAATAGTTTGAATTATAAAACAGGATATCCTTCCCCCTTCCCCCTTTTTTTCTCTCTTAGGTCAAGGGTGAACGGGTTAATTACTTGCTCAACAGTAGTATTAAAATCCGGCACTCTTCCGAATACCGGTCCCAAATTATTCACCGATAAAAAATCCTATTCAGGGCCTCAATAGGTCATTTTTTAACCCTTAACAGGGCGGTTGGCACGTTGTGTTGTGGTTTACAGCTAGGCTGCGAAATATGCGCCTTTCGCTTGTTCTTGTGGTTCACAGCTAGGCTGCGATAGCGGCGGTGAGATGCTCAATGATAATGTCACGGGTAGGTAAACTTCGTTTTTTTCGTTCGCCCTTGAAAGAATGGTTCTCATGTTGTGTTATGGTTTACAGCTAGGCTGCGATATCTGCGCCCTTTGCCCCAGAGCATCCGATTTCAGCAGTCCTAATTAGTCACCTTTTACAACTTTTATGTGGCAGTGGATCTATTTTTTCTTTCCCCTAAAATATTTGGCCCTGGACCCCCGCAAGGGCAGTAATGGGTAATGTAAACAATGGATCAAATATCATTCACGTCGCTTCAATGGACAGAACTCTATTCCTCCCCAAGTCGCTTAAACAATGGATCTAAATCTATTCTTTTCCACGTCGCTTCAATGGGTCGAAAACGATTCCTCCCCACGGCGCTTAACTTAACGTCTAAACATTGAAATCCAGCGAGCAATAACGGCACAAGTGGAAACTGATCATGATGGCCTAAACGGTTTTACTACATAACCTCCTGAGGGATGTTTTTCGGCAGTGAATAATTTGGGACCGGTATTCGGAAGAGTCTCCTGAGGGATGTTTTTCGGCAGTGAATAATTTGGGACCGGTATTCGGAAGAGTGCCTTAAAATCCTAACCCTTGTCTCCAAGAGCTAAGTGAAGCGATATGCTCTTTAACTGCACTGAAAAAATCTAACGAAGATTTTCTTCAACACATTACAGGCATTAAAAGTATCTGAAACAGGTCTTCAGGTATAACCATAAGCATATGTTCTTTTCTCAAGGTTATTCCTAGATTTTGTATGTAACAAGACAACTGATGATTGTTTAAAATTGTTTGAGTATCGAGGAGATGGGCCAGGACTCACCGAGAGATGTCCAGGTGAAATGTCACCCTATATATCACTCAATATGGACCACTTACTTTATTAAAAAAAATTGGATTACAATCATGTATCCTGTATGCCTCACAAGTTAGCGATGGATCCTTTTTTACATCTTAATTTGCTATTTATAAGAGATAAAGAACAAACAAGAGAAGGAGCTGAAAACAAAAGTCGAGAAAAGAAGTGGAGGAGGTTGATGAGAATAGGTATATACCCCCCCCCCCCCCTTTAAAAAAAAATCAGTAAATTATATTTTTTATAACCAAAAAAAAATCATTCAGTTATTATAAAGGGTGGCACAAATGATGATGAAATGTTAATCTAAACTTTGCTTATTGGAACTGGTGCTTAAAATATCTGCAGCTTTTAGTTGGATCCGGCACTTTTTTACTGCTGCGTTTATGGTCTCTGGATCTAGGGACAGAGCAGCTATGGGGTGACCGGTTCGCTCTGAATTTGGAACTATGAAAACCTGCTTCACATCTTTCAGTAGACATGTTATTTGTTATCTTCACATCTTTCAGTAGACATGTTATTTGTTATCTTCACATCTTTCAGTAGACATGTTATTTGTTATCTTCACATCTTTCAGTAGACATGTTATTTGTTGTCCGAGTGACAAGTATTCCATTATTTAGAGACCGAAAAAAGTCTACTTTTTTTTACGTGGTATAAAAAAATTTTTTAACTGCGGGTAGAAGTTGTTGGGGCCGACCTCTACTACGATATAAAGATTTGTGCAAGCAGGATATGATTGATACAGGTAATGAGGTGGACTCGTAGGAACGAAATGCCATGGTGGTGGATTGGGCACTTCAGGAAGGGAATGAGAATAAAGGAAGAAATGATTGCAGAAAGGATGAGAGCTGAGCGTCTGAGAAGAAACACTCCAAACACAAATATTGACAACTGGTCCTAAAATCCCATGCTATAATTGTGGAAGACTCTTCTTAACACGGATGGGTCTTGCTAGTCACACTCGCTATCACACTCGCTATTGCCGTTAGCTGTGAGTCCCTTGCCTCCTCATAGCGCAGTATACACTATCGTCTGGAAGGACAGAAAGGTGCCAATCAGAATAAATAACTGCATGTAAGGAGTGAGACGGGAAGGGTAGAATGCTAGACAGGCCCGCATGACCAGTTCTTAGTCCTTAGAAAAAAAAAAGTTTGTTCTTTCATTGTTTGTTCTTCTTCAGTATTCTCAGATCTTGATGCTTATTGCTGCGGATATAACTGCCTCCATTTATCTCTGTAATTGGTCTTTTCTTTCCAGCTGGGGACTCCAGATGTGTACAGGGCTGCCTATATATTATCTCTCCCACATCATCTGGGTCTGTTTCATGGTGTGCTTCCATTAAAAATCTTTTGTGTAGACAGTTTTTGTCTCCCGTCTCTGTTTGCCCCAGCAGTAGAGAGAATGGCAGACGACAGGGAGACACAAACTTGTCTACAGAAAGGAGTTGAATGGGAGTAGACCAAGATGCAGGCCAAGAAGGCTGTGGTCTTGTGTGATAGAACATCAATTTCATTCACAGATTCCACAGGCAGCTTATGATGATGATGCGTTGATCAATAAAAAGCTTCCCAAGGAGTTGTTGTTACGGTAATGTATGTATGTATATGTGTGCCTGCATAAAAAATTACTGCTTGGACAGTCTACTGACTGTCTGCTAACCATATATTCTACTGACCAGACACTCTATTGGCTACAGCACTGACTGACAGTCTGCTAACCAACGGTCTGCTAATCAGACAGTCTAGTGACCAGAAGGGCTTCTGACCAGATAGTCAAGTGACCAGAAAGTCTGCTGATCAGATAGTTCAGTGATGATCAGACAGTTCAATGACCAGAAGGTCTACTAATCAGACAGTTCAGTGACCAGAATGTCTACTGATCAGATAGTCTAGTGACAAGAAGGTCTTCTGATCAGTAGGTCTAGTGATCAGAAGGCCTACTGATCAGTAGGTCTAGTGACCAAAAGGTCTAGTGACCAGAAGGTTTACTGATCAGATAGTCTGGTGACTAGAAGGTCTTCTGATCAGTAGGTCTAGTGACCAGAAAGTCTACTGATCATTAGGTCTAGTGACCAGAAGGTCTACTGACCAGAAGGTCTAACGACAAGAAAGTCTACTGATGAAACAGTCTAGCGATCAGAAGGTCTGCTGACCAGATAGACTGGTGACTAGAAGATCTACAAGTCTAGTGACTAGAAGGTCTACTGATCAGATAGTCTAGTGACCAGAAGGTTTACTGATCAGACAGTCTAGTGACCAGAAGGTCTACTGGTCAGAAAGAGTAGTGAACAGAAAGTCTGCTGATAAATCTAGTGACCAAATAGTCTACTGATCAGATAGTCTAGTGAACAGAAAGTCTACTGATCAAATAGTCTAGTAACCAGCCATACCTAATCTTGATGTTGGAGAGAGTATTATCTATTAGTTTATTAGTATTCTCCGCAAGACGTTAGAGCCTACAGAGGAGCTGATATTGGCAGTGATCATAATCTTTGCATTGCCAAACTAAAAATTAAACTCAAGTCTCTACTTAAACCACCCAGAAATAAGAAAATAAACTTACAAGCCCTTTTGTCAAAAGATCATCAAAGCGCATTTAAAGAGGTACTCACCACCTATGTAACCAAAACTAATAATAGCGGGTACTAAAAATAACATAGACACAAATTGGGACTTTTTCAAGAACACACTGACGAACGCTGCAGTAAATACAGTTGGTTATGTACAAAAGCAGAAGAAGAAGTGGCTAAGCGACAACACCTGGTCAAAAATCCAAGAAAAGGAAACAAGCAAATTAACACTTTTATCAAAAAAAGACACATCTTCATACGAAAAATACAGCACGCTAGACAAAGAAGTGAAATCAAATGCAAGGAAAGACAAACAGAACTTCATACACGACCTCGCCTCCGATGCTGAAACAGCTGCCAAGATTGGTCTAACAACAAAGCCGTATTCCATATTAGAAACAACTGTGCAATCACTCACCTACACTAATATACACCATTAAAGACAAGCAGGGTAAACTAGTGCTATCCGTGACTAGAAACAAAGCGATGGGCAGAAACATTTCAAGGAAATATTAAATAGGCCAAATCCTGACATCATTCCCAATTTAGAAGAAGAAATTATTACTGACCAACACTCTAATTGCCTCCAGCGAGTCATTCACAATAGAGTCTATTAAAAGAAGCTATTAAAAAATTAAGAATAAACAAAGCTACCGAGAGGACAACATCTCAGGGGAAATGCTCAAAGCAGCTGATGAAAAACACCCTGCAACATTTGCTCCAGCTGATGGATGATAGTCTGGCAAAACGAATACCCACCACAACAATGGAAAGATGGTGTAATCTTCAAATTACCTAAAAAAGGTGATTTATCCGATAGTAACAACTGGAGAGGCATCACCCTGCTTTCGATACCAGGGAAACTATTTTGTAGTATGCTACTAGAAAGATTGAAAAAATCCATAGATGAAAGATTAAGGGAAGAACAAGCCGGTTTTAGATCCAAGCGGTCATGCATAGACCACATCTTTACTCTTAGAATAATTGTTGAAGATTCTACAGATCTCCAGTCGAAATTATTGATCAACTTTGTCGACTTTCAAAAGCCTTCGACAGTATCCATCGTCCAACACTCTGGAAATTGCTTAACATCTAGGTTTCCCCATCAAATATATCAACATCATAAAAGTCTTTTTATAATGAAACACGATGCTGTGTAAGAACTGATTCCGGCAACTCTGACTGGTTCCCGGTGGAAAACAGGAGTGAAGCAAGGCTGTGTCCTATCGCCGATGCTTTTTGGTATAGCAATCGACTGGGTCATGCGCAAGTGCATAAATAACGCAAATTTAGGCATTACATGGGTTGACAAAATTCTGGAAGACCTAGACTTCGCCGACGACATAGCACTCCTGAGTTCAGAACACACAGACGCCCAAGAAAAAATCAATCGACTCCAGAATTTCTCAGAACAAATTGGACTCAAAATTAACACCGCAAAAACAAAAAACAAAATTCTAGACCTTACCAACAGTTCAGTTGATATCACGCTGAACAACAACAGCCTTGAAAAAGTCAACAGTTTCACTTATCTAGGGAGCAAGATGTCATCTACAGGAGATACCGCACCAGAAATAGTCATTTAGAATAGCACTGGCATCTAGTGCCTCAATAAACTGTCTAACATCTGGAAACTCAAAGACACTTAGCAAACACACAAAACTCAAGATCTTCAATTCTTGTGTGATTCCAGTACTAACCTATGGATGCGAGAGTTGGAAATCAACGAAAACTCTAGACACAAAATTAGACAGTTTTGAAAATAAAGCCTTAGAAGAATACTAAATTTCAAATGGTCAGATTTCCGAACCAATACACAAATAAGGCAAGAATACCAGGCAAGAGTATGTGTCTAATTGATACGAAAACGCCGCTGGAACTATGTCGGCCACGTCCTTAGAATGGATAAATCAAGACTTCCTACCAAGCCCTCATTTGGACACCACAGGGGAAACTGATCAGTTGGAAGACCAAGGGAAACCCTACGTAGAACTATCATCAGGGAAGGCTCGCTCATGGGCCACTCAAACATCCAAGACCTACAACGGATTGCAACGGACCGCCGTGCATGGAGAGTCACGACCTCTGCCCTATGTGCCGCACTCGACACAAGAGGAAAGACTAACTAAGACTATTCTCTTTGAGTCATTCATGCTTAGCTATCCATCTTCTGAAATGTATCATGTTGTACTGTTATTATTTCATTTATTGTAGGTTAAACATTCCTTCTGTGTCTATATATACAAATAATCCTATGCATTTACCTATCTTTGTGTCCCACACATATAGATCTGTCTTGCTAGCTCATTAGTAGCCTATTTATCCCTTTACTTACCTTTCTGTCTTCACACAGACCTGCCAGTCTAAATCAGTTTTCTACACATTTTTATATCTACCATTTTGCTTACCTCATTCTCTTTGTACCTCCTTGCCTGAATGTCTACTCGTCTGCCACCCTATCCAAATGCATGACTAACTGCTTGCTTACATACTTAATGCCTTATCTACATTACTCAAATCTACTTTTTTAACTACCCATGGGTTTATCAGTCTTCATACCTACTTGTCAGCTCTCCAGCATACCTACCTGCATGCCCTCCTGCATCCTTTTTGTCTTCCAAACTTTCTGCCCTCTTGCATACCCTCATTTCTACTTGTCTGTCATCCCTCAACCCCTTCTGTATACATACTGGTCTGCCTTCCAGCTTACTGTTATGTCTACCTACCTGCCTGCTCTTTTTCATACCCACACATTTACCTAATTTTTTTCCTTCCTGCATGCCCTCATATCTACCTGTCTGTCTGCTTTCTTGCTTAAACTCATTTCTACCTGCCTACCTGCCTTCCTGCATACCCTCATTTCTACCTGCCCGTATGCCTTCCTGCTTACCCTCATTTCTACCTGTCTGTATGCTTTCCTGCATACCGTCATTTGTACCTGCCCATATGCTTTTCTGCACACCCTCATTTCTACCTGCCTATATGCCTTCCTGCATACCCTCGTTTCTACCTGCCTAAATGCCTTCCTGCATACCCTAATTTCTACCTGCCTAAATGTCTTCCTGCATACCCTCATTTCTACCTGCCTATATACCTTCCTGCATACCTTCATTTCTACCTGTGTAAATGCCTTCCTGCATACCCTCATTTCTACCTGCCTAAATGCCTTCCTGCATACCCTCATTTCTACCTGCCTAAATGCCTTCTGCACACCCTCATGTTTGCATACCTTTTAATAGTTTGCATCTGATTAAAAAAAAAAGAAAATTTCACAGAGACATGGCTCTATATTGTAGTATCCATTGTAACCTAATATAGTGTCCATTGCAACTGAATAGACCAGAACTGTTGATTTTAATTGTGAATGCCAGTGTTACAGAACAACAACAGCCAGCCACCCATGGATTGACAGGGTCAGAATGGGACTTGTGTGGTGCTGCATGCTTGTTGCCCAGATTTCCTGTAGATAACCAAACTGGGTCAGCCAGAGAATCCTGTAAACTAGTTTTCCATAAAAAACATAGACACAAGAGAGAAATTAAACAGCACTTCCATGTCAGTAATTATATTCTGACATGTACTGTTCAGCTCTTTGTAGATGATATGTCTTGTGAATGTATATGGATTATCTTTGAGCTCAAAGGTTATTGTAGGCTTTAAACAGTGGTTCCCATATTGTTGTGAATGTATATAGATTGTTGTTTGATTTTAAAGTTTGCAGATTTTGGACAGTGGTTCCCAGATTATTGTGAATGTATATAGATTGATTTGTGAGCTTTAAGATTGTAGGCTTTGAACAGTGGTTCCTAGATTGTTGTGAATGTATATAGATTGATTTTTGAGCTTTAAGATTGTAGGCTTTGAACAGTGGTTCCCAGATTGTTGTGAATGTATAAAGGTTGATTTTTGATCTTTAAGGTTGCAGGCTTTGAACAGTGGTTCCTAGATTGTTGTGAATGTATGTAGGTTGATTTCTGATCTTTAAGGTTGCAGGCTTTGAACAGTGGTTCCCAGATTGTTGTGAATGTATATAGATTGATTTTTTATCTTTAAGGTTGCAGGCTTTGAACAGTGGTTCCTAGATTGTTGTGAATGTATATAGATTGATTTTTGATCTTTAAGGTTGCAGGCTTTGAACAGTTGTTCCCAGATTGTTGTGAATGTATATAGATTGATTTTTGATCTTTAAGGTTGCAGGCTTTGAACAGTGGTTCCTAGATTGTTGTGAATGTATATAGATTGATTTCTGATCTTTAAGGTTGCAGGCTTTGAACAGTGGTTCCCAGATAGTTGTGAATGTATATAGATTGATTTTTGATCTTTAAGGTTGCAGGCTTTGAACAGTGGTTCCCAGATAGTTGTGAATGTATTTGGATTGATTTCTGAGCTTTAAGGTTGCAGACTTTGAACAGTAGCTCCCATATTGTTTTGAATGTATACTTAAAATGAGTTGCTTTTTACATGTTATTTGTGTTAAAATTATTTTTTAATTTATCTGTAATATTCCTGTTTGAAAATATTTTGTTGATCAACAATAACGTGTGTTATATGTTTAATTCTACAGCATCTTCTCCTTCCTTGACGTAGTGTCACTATGCAGGTGTGCTCAGGTGTCCAAGGTATGTGTGGTGTTTCTAAACATCTTCAGCTGTTGATGTTGATAACCAGGAAAATAATAAGAACATTGTCACTTGTAGTATCGATAAAGTCAAGAATCCTTTTCCACACCTTCAGGGGTAAATATTTCTAGTTGATTGGCACCTTTCCATCTTTCCATAGGCAAGTGTTATATTGTGCTATGAGGAGGCATGGGACTCACAACCAATGGCGAAGGCGAGTGGGACTAGCAAGACCCACCCACATTAAGACAAGTTTTATATATAAATATATATATATACATATGTATATATCATGCTAGACCTACATTTTCGGCACTCAGTGGCTGATATGGTCAGCACCGTGCAGGACTTATATAAAATAGCGCTTCCAGCATTTGCTGCTGGACTCATATTTTTATAGTCCAGTTGGCGCTCGCCAGCTGATATGATCAACATCATACTGACCACCTTTACTTCCCATGACAGTACCTGGCACCCATTTTAGGCGGAGTCGACATGGGAGCCAAGATCAGTTTTAACAAAAAAAAATTAAAATCTGCTTCGATGTGAATTAAATCTTAAGACTCTTGGAACAGCAGGCGAACTTTAAGTGTAAATAAGAATGGTAGTTCTGATAGATCAGTGGAAGAAGGTCTCGATCAGCTGTTAATCTTGGCTGTGTGTTTTTATTTAAGTAGCACCAGAGAAATCAATCTTTTTTTCTTCTTCTTCCTATTCTTTGCATTTACTGGCTGTCAACTCCTGCAGAAAGTTCTGGTTGTTTATTCACTTGTTCCAGAACTTGAGTTTTGCATGCATTTCTGTTTTACAGATCTGGCTTATCTGTATGCAGATTCTTGGTACGCACTCTGACTTCAAATAAAACTCCCCTAATTAGTCACTATGTATGATATGCTTGTTGATGGGGGGAGCAGTGGGTGTAATCTCTCCTCTCCCCCCCCACCCATGCCCACACACGCTCACACACACACGCACACGCAAACCCCCAGAATCAGCACATAGAATAATCTTTTCAGTTAGTCATGCTTACTGCCAAACTTCTATTTGATTAGATGTTTGCCTGTTGGCATTGCCACATATTGTCGACAGACAAATGTTGTACAAATGTTTTCAATAAATCAATCCAGAAACATAAAGACTGAATTATGCTTATGTATGCAGTCACAGTGATCAGTGTCAGACATGTCTCCTGTCACATGCTACAAATAAGTCAGTACAATCAGTATGTCATGAAGTTCTCATCAAATAATCTCAAATGAATTATTATGGCCTGGATAGAATGAGGCACCTGGATGTAACCAGTGGCTGGCCGGTTCACTACACTCAGAGGAAAGGCAAGCCGGACATATAACCAGATCGTGACCGGTACCATCAGTATCTGAACTCTGTGCTGGCTGCTGAAGATGATGATGGAGCACACATGGGAATGCCCCGAGTGCTGTTATGTGAATTCTTGACTCAACTCATAAAATACTCTGATGGGGAGTCTAATAATCTCTTCTCTGTTGCTTGAATCGTTACTTGAATCGTTACTTGAATTGTTGATAAGAGCTTCTAACGTCATGTCCATGGATTGTTTCAGTACTGGAATATGCTGGCCTTGGATGGCAGCAACTGGCAGAGGATCGACCTGTTCGACTTTCAGACGGATGTAGAGGTACGCCTGCATGTTAATAGGCAGGCAGATATCATATGGTCTGTTTTTTTTTAGTTAACAGTTTTTATGGATGATTTATCTGAAGATTGTGGGTTCAAATCTGATTGAAGCTGGACTTTAAAAAAAAATGGTTACTAGGTCAACCCAGCCTTAAATGGGTACCAAATAAAGTTCTGGAATTTAGGGCGGCTAGTGTTGGGAATTTAAGGCGGCTGGTGTTGGGAATTTAAGGCGGCTGGTGTTAGGAATTTAAGGCAGCTGGTGTTGGGAATTTAAGGCGGCTGGTGTTGGGAATTTAAGGCGGCTGGTGTTGGGAATTTAAGGCAGCTGGTGTGATCTTGACCTGACTGCCCACCGAGTGCCAGCTGGTCAACAAAGTTCAGGTCTAGCACTATATGTCTAATACACCTTGAAGATGTGCACGGGGATCAGTTACTTTACATATGGCTGGTTTCATATTTTGCTGTTTGTTTCCTTGTTTATGTTTGTATTATTGTTTGCCACATGTTTTATGAGTCCTCGTTGATACCATACATTTGGCCAGGTTTATGGTTGCTTGCATTATCAACAAGCACCCTCACAAAATCACCAACTGTTCTTTGTTTAGATTTGGCTTATAGCTGGAACCATTATACTTGACAGCATGATTCTGGAGTCAACTTTAACTTGATAAAATGAGTGCCAAAATATTCTGGTGTATCAAAGAAAGGAGAGAGAGAGGGGGGTGGGGGGGGGGGGGAGGTCTGCATGTTATTGCACATATCATATGCTGATGAGTTTAACATTACTAGTTTAGCACTTCATTTCAAACTTTCTACACATAGAAGAGGTAGTTGCCATGGTGAAGTGCCTAGATGCTTGCCTGTAGATTGGAAGGTTGTGGGTTCAGGTCCTGACAGGGGCGGACTTTTACAAAAAAATGGTTTTGGTTCCCAGGCCGATCCAGTCTTAAGTGGGTACCAGGTACAGACCTGGGAAGTAAAGGCAGCCGGCATTATGCTGACCAAATCACACACCAAGCTTCGTTTGGTTCATAAATTATAGGTCCATCTGTATCTACCCAATACGCCTGAAGGCACGGGAAAGGGTCCTTTTCTTTGACTTTACATGTAGTAAACTTTAAACAACCTGTTTTTGTGTGCGGTGATTAATTCGAATGGTTGGTTTAGTCGGTTGTCTTTACATTTTTACAATGTTTTATGATAATTTTAAAAAAATATAATTGTATTTTGTGGTAATAATTTGTTTCATTTGCTGTGATACCTTTCTTGAGTTGTGTTTATTCTCGTGAGCTGTATTTTATTTCAGGGGATGTGTTTTTATTTCATGGGATGTTTCTTTTTTTTCTTTCTTTTTCATGGGTTGTGTTGTATCTCATGGGGTGTGTTGTATCTCATGGGGTGTGTTGTATCTCATGGGGTGTGTTGTATCTCATGGGGTGTGTTGTATTTCATGAGTTGTGTTTTATCTCATGGGTTGTGTTGTATCTCATGGGGTGTGTTGTATTTCATGGGTTGTGTTTTGTTTCATAGAATATGTTTTATCTCATGGGTTGTGTTTTATTACATGGATCATGTTTCAGGCTTTATCTCATAGGTTGTAACTGATTTCATTACCAGGGTCCAGTAGTAGAGTACATGTCACAGAGATGTGGTGGCTTTCTCAAGGATCTGAGTTTACGGGGCTGTCAGAGTATTACAGATGCTGCATTACAGTAAGTGTCAGTAATGGTTGGATGGTGACAGTAAGTGTCAGTAGTGATTGGACAGTGGACAGTAAGTGTCACTAGTGGTTGGATGGTGACAGTAAGTGTCAGTAGTGGTTGGATGGTGACAGTAAGTGTCAGTAGTGGTTGGACAGTGGACAGTAAGTGTCAGTAGTGGTTGGACAGTGGACAGTAAGTGTCACTAGTGGTTGGATGGTGACAGTAAGTGTCAGTAGTGGTTGGATGGTGACAGTAAGTGTCAGTAGTGGTTGGACAGTGGACAGTAAGTGTCAGTAGTGGTTGGACAGTGGACAGTAAGTGTCAGTAGTGGTTGGATGGTGACAGTAAGTGTCAGTAGTGGTTGGATGGTGACAGTAAGTGTCAGTAGTGGTTGGACAGTGGACAGTAAGTGTCAGTAGTGGTTGGACAGTGACAGTAAGTGTCAGTAGTGGTTGGACAGTGGACAGTAAGTGTCAGTAGTGGTTGGACAGTGGACAGTAAGTGTCAGTAGTGGTTGGACAGTGGACAGTAAGTGTCAGTAGTGGTTGGACAGGGGACAGTAAGTGTCAGTAGTGGTTGGACAGTGGACAGTAAGTGTCAGTAGTGGTTGGAGTGGACAGTAAGTGTCAGTAGTGTTGGTTGGACAGTGACAGTAAGTGTCAGTAGTGGTTGACAGCACAGTAAGGACAGATGGAGTAGTGGTTGGACAGTGTGTCAGTAAGTGTCAGTAGTAAGTGTCAGTAGGACAGTGGACAGTAAGTGTCAGTAGTGGTTGGACAGTGGACAGTAAGTGTCAGTAGTGGTTGGACAGTGGACAGTAAGTGTCAGTAGTGGTTGGATGGTGGTGTCAGTAGTGGTCATGTAGTGGTTGGATGGTGACAGTAAGTAAGTGTCAGTAGTGGTGGATGGACAGTAAGTGTCAGTAGTGGTAGTGGATGGTGACAGTAAGTGTCAGTAGTGGTTGGATGGTGACAGTAAGTGTCAGTAAGTGTCAGTAGTAGTGGTAAGTGTCAGTAGTGGTTGGATGACAGTAAGTGTCAGTAGTGGTGACAGTAAGTGTCAGTAGTGGTTGGATAGTGGACAGTAAGTGTCAGTAGTGGTTGGATGTGTGACAGTAAGTGTCAGTAGTGGTTGGATGGTGACAGTAAGTGTCAGTAGTGGTTGGATGGTGACAGTAAGTGTCAGTAGTGGTTGGATGGACAGTGGACAGTGTGTGACAGTAAGTGTCAGTAGTGGTTGGATGGTGACAGTAAGTGTCAGTAGTGGTGGATGGTGACAGTAAGTGTCAGTAAGTGGTTGGACAGTGGACAGTGGTCAGTAAGTGTCAGTAGTAAGTGTCAGTAGTGGTTGGACAGTGGACAGTAAGTGTCAGTAGTGGTTGGACAGTGGACAGTAAGTGTCAGTAGTGGTTGGATGGTGACAGTAAGTGTCAGTAGTGGTTGGATGGTGACAGTAAGTGTCAGTAGTGGTTGGATGGTGACAGTAAGTGTCAGTAGTGGTTGGACAGTGGACAGTAAGTGTCAGTAGTGGTTGGACAGTGGACAGTAAGTGTCAGTAGTGGTTGGACAGTGGACAGTAAGTGTCAGTAGTGGTTGGACAGTGGACAGTAAGTGTCAGTAGTGGTTGGAGTAAGTGTCAGTAGTGGTTGGACAGTGGACAGTAAGTGTCAGTAGTGGTTGGACAGTGGACAGTAAGTGTCAGTAGTGGTTGGACAGTGGACAGTAAGTGTCAGTAGTGGTTGGATAGTGGACAGTAAGTGTCAGTAGTGGTTGGATAGTGGACAGTAAGTGTCACTAGTGGTTGGATGGTGACAGTAAGTGTCAGTAGTGGTTGGATGGTGACAGTAAGTGTCAGTAGTGGTTGGATAGTTGACACTAAGTGTCAGTAGTGGTTGGATGGTGACAGTAAGTGTCAGTAGTGGTTGGATGGTGACAGTAAGTGTCAGTAGTGGTTGGATGGTGACAGTAAGTGTCAGTAGTGGTTGGATGGTGACAGTAAGTGTCAGTAGTGGTTGGACAGTGGACAGTAAGTGTCAGTAGTGGTTGGATGGTGACAGTAAGTGTCAGTAGTGGTTGGATGGTGACAGTAAGTGTCAGTAGTGGTTGGATGGTGACAGTAAGTGTCAGTAGTGGTTGGACAGTGGACAGTAAGTGTCAGTAGTGGTTGGACAGTGGACAGTAAGTGTCAGTAGTGGTTGGATAGTTGACAGTAAGTGTCAGTAGTAGTAGACAGTTGACAGTAATTAGATGGATGAATAAAGTGAAAGAATAGAATTAACAGCTTGTGTGTGACCAGCTTACGATCCAAAGTTAGTAGGCTCACATCCGAATGTAGCTGAACTTTTTTCTCCAAAAATGACTTTGGCTCTCATTTTGACCCTGCCTTAATGGATACTTGGTCAAGTTTTAGGAAGTAAAGGCGCTGGCATCATGTTGACCTCATCACCCAGGAGTGTTAACTGTTCTGTGAAATATAGGTCTGGCTGTGTATATCAAGTGTGCCTGAAAGTGTAGAAAAGATTTTTTTCAGCTGTAAATATATCTTTCTTTTTTTTCCCTTGTTACTGACTTCACTCCCTTGATCTTTAATTCTTTTTTTGAATAATAATTTAAAAGAAATTATTTTAACTGCAGATTTTGTTTCAGCAAGAAAAGGGAGATATTTATATTTGTACATAAAAAACATATGTAGTTAAGTTTAATTTGTTTCCTTGACTTTCATTAAGTTTAATCTTTTGTTGTTGACTTTGTGTTCCTGTTTTCATTGCAGGACGTTTGCCCAACAGTGTAGGAATATAGAGTGTTTAATCTTGAATAAATGTATGGATGTGACAGACTTGTAAGTATGATGTTTCAGCAGGAATCTATTATGTCTGTCTGTCTGATTGTCATATCTTAGTTGTTGTTTCACACAGCTGTATCTTTAATGTTTATGTAAGTCTAGTATATCTGCCCACTTGTCTGCCTAGCTGCTTAGCTTCATAACACACACACAATCATACATATACACACAGCGCAACCCACCAATCGACACATAGGCACACACATGCGTGCACAATTGCGAGCGACACACACACAGATATGCATGCATGTACACATACACAGACAGATAGAGCTGTGTGTTTGCTAACATACTTACATACCTACTGGTCTATGTATCGAGCTACTTGCCTACCTAACTACTGACATACTTAATGTAGCATTTAATATATTAACCAAATTTACTTACTAAACTAACTAACTACCTATTTTTTGTGTTTAACCTGTCAGTCTGTCTGTCTGTCTGTCTTCTACCTACCCAGCAAGCTATATTCCTAATGTATTTACCAGTGTGAGGTAAATCTATGAGAAAACAAGAGAAACAGGAGGAGGAGGATTGAAGAAGAAAGAAGGAGAATGGTTGAGAATGAGTAAACATGCTTTTACAATTGTTCTTTTTTGTTTCTTTTCTTTCCTTAGAACGTGTGATAGTTTAAGTAAATACAGCAGCAAGTTGCGCAAGCTTGACTTGGCCTCCTGTCCCAAGATTACAGACCTCTCCTTGAAATATCTCAGGTAAGCTGAGAGAAAGAGAGAGAAAAAGAGAGGGAGGGGCAGGGGAGAGAGGCGGAAGAGAGGGAGAGAGAGAGAGAGAAAGGGGGAGGGGAGAGGCAGAAGAGAGGGAAAGAGAGAGAAGATGAATGTATGTGTGAAAATTTGTGTGCATGCTCATGTGTGAAACAAAGTGTGAGAGACAAATGTGAGGGAGTAGGGGGGGAGAGAAAGTAAATGAGAGCAAGAGAGAAAAAGTACTCTTATTGATAATTATCTTTCTTTGTTCAGTGTGTCTGTCTATCACACACACACACTTTCTTTCATTAACTCTTTGAGGCCCAGGCAATGCTGTGTGTGTTGATTGAGAAGTTACCAATTTGCCCAAACAACACTGTCTGTGTCGATCGTGTGTCCTGTACACATTGATTAGCAGAAGGCTCTGTATTTGTTTCTAATGTTTAAGCTACCATTAAGTTATTCAGTGAAGGTTACCCTAATGTTTTTCTTTGTAAACAAGTCTATGATCCCACACATGTGGGAGCAGACTGATTCAATTCGTTGATAGCTGCATTTTCAGACAATGCGTCTTCTGATTTTGTGTTCAAGTGGCCCTGGTTACAAATGTTCCGAACACAAGCACAGGCTGAAATATGTGCTTTTCTCTTGATGAAGCTCTGAAATTGTTTTAGTCAGATGTTTTCTAATTATGAAAAATTTAATGTTTTCTGAAATAGTGACTCGGACGGTAAAAATAGACCAGCGACTGAGCGGTCAGCTGTTCATTCTGATGATATACATCCAGGAGGACCCATTTCATTTATGAAGGATGTGATATCACCACATTTGCATTGAAAGAACTGTTTCAGAAAGTACCACACTCACACTAAGGCTAAGCTGCATTGAAATCATTGCAGCTACAGTCTTTATGTAACTACAGAGTTAATTTTTTGTGTGTATAGGAGGACTAGATCCAGTTTTATGCCATTTTTCTTTGAAATTTTGTTCAAAACTCTGTGAAAACCTGGAACCTCTGAGTGATAAACTAACCCAGAAAGATATAACTTTGAATTTGTTAAGGAAACTGAACAGACTTCACAGTTGTATTCTCATATTCAGATATTCTCTGCTCTCATGGCTGCAAAACCATGGCAAATGAAGATTGGTAAAATTTTGTCTTTATACAAATAACACTAACTGAATTATTTTTTGTGCTAACTATATCAATATGAAACATATCATCATGTTCAAAGTGAACATTCATTCCTCTTTAAAAAAATATATATACTTTTATAATGATTAGAAATAAATTACATTCTCATTTGCCTTTCATTTTTTTTTCACCACCCCCTCTGCCATTTTTGTAAATGAAATTTAATGTGAGCCAAGCCTATCCAAATTCATGGGCTTGAAAGAGTTAAGTATTCTGTTATGGACTTCAGTGAATGATCTAGCTCTGTTTGCAGCTGGTAATACCTCAGGAAATGTTCTGTTTTCTTTAAGTTTGTTGACTCAGTATTCTTCTGAAAGTTCACATCTTTACTGCTGTCAGCTTTTTTCAGTTTTATTACTTATTTATTACTTATTCCACACAACTCAACCACATTGTTATCACATTTAAATGTAAAATGTAAATGCTTTAAAGTTTATGTCTTCTAATTCTTGCATTAGTGTCTAAAAGAAATGATTATAAGATGTGTAAAATATAAAAAAATATACTCTGAAAACTCATTGAACACTTTAAATCCACGTAATAACTTGAAAGGTTGAACAAGATATTTTTGTGAATATTATTTCTTCTACTTTTTTAGTTTGACTGCCTTATCTCTCTTCCTGAGTAGGGCCTTGGTTTCGCCGGTGACACTGAAACACTGATTTCACTAAGGTTAATCTGTGAAATATCACACACATTAAAATATATTAAATTTTTTTGTTCTAGTAATACGTCTCAGGGACGGGGCTGCCAGCAGCTGTCATATCTAGACATCTCCTGGTGTCGGAACGTCACCAATGAGGGAGTTATAGCCCTGGCCGAGGGCTGCCCACAGATCAACACATTCTTTTGTCGAGGTTGTACTCAGGTAGATTCTCTTTGCTTTTCTTTCTTGTGGGTCTCCGCACCCCATTTTGAGGACAGAATAGAGTAGGCTCGCTTCTCACGTAAAAAGTATGTCATAAAAGTCAATTAGAGCAATGATTCTCAACCTTCCTAGTGCCCCGACCCTTTCATATAGTTCCTCATGTTGTGGCGACCTTTTAATACAGCTCATCGTGTTGTGGGGACATCTAACAGTACAGTTATTTTGGTTGCTACTTCATAACGTCAATGATTATGTGTTTTGCGATGGTCTTTAGCACCCCTTGTAAAAGGGTCATTTGACCTAAAAAAAAAGGTCTAGACCAATGGGTTGAGAATCGCTGAATTCGAGTTTTTTTTTTTTAAAACTTAGTCAGAGAGTATCTGCCTGAGATGCAAAAAACCAACAGTCTGCATACAAATAAGCCAGATTTGTAAAATGTATGTGCATGCAAAACTCAAGTTCTGGACCAAGACTAAAATCCAAAAGTGGATGAACAACCAGAACCTGCCACTGAAGTTTACAGCAGGTGAATGCAAAGAATAAGAAGTGTAGTTTTCCTTATGGTTTTCTCCACACAGTGTGAGATACAGATAGTCCTGTGACAGATCCTCCTTGAGGTTAGTAATAGAGACATGAAATAATAGTGGAGGGAATGGAATTATGTTTGTAGCAGGGAATGGTAGCAGTAAGGGATAGAATCAAGTGGAATGGAATAATAGTACAGAAATGGAGTAATAGTACAGAAATGGAATAATAGTACAGAAATGGAATAATAGTACAGAAATGGAATAATAATTGAGTGGCATCATCAGTGAATGAATGAAATAGTTGTGATGGGTAAAAGAAGAGTTGTGTTACAGCAGCATAGGATGATTGTGAAAATGATACTTAAATATATTGTTTCACATTACTGTTAATATGTTTGTTGAATCCACTCAATCATTCAGTGGGTAAAATACTGAAATAATCAATAAAATACTTGCATGAGAAGTGTAACTGTGACTACAGATTACTCTGAAACAATTGGATGTCCTTGTATAACATGTATGGTTGAATGAATGGATTTGTTGGGACTTTGCCTAATTGATTCTCATCCGAATAGTGGCTCTTTAAGTCAGTGAGTGTTAATGTTTCACTATGCAATCCTGGAGGGTTTAAAAAAAAAAAAGGCAGTTTTACCAAATCAAGTCAATTCTAGTCTAAACAGCATGATCCCAGTTGGTATTGTCAAAGTATTTCTTGGGAATTAGTATCAATGTATGTGCAGTGTATTGGGATATTGGACTTTTATTCATCGATGAATTTCTAAATGTTTCATCCCTTCGCTGATTTAAAAAAAAAAAAAGAATAACAGAAGGCTACTTCTCTTTAATGCATGCCACAAATGATGTGACCATCTTCAAACTGTCAATGTTACATCACTTTGTTCGTCTACACCGTGATTCCACATGCTTGACACTCTTGACATCCTTACCAACAATATTGACTGGTTACAAGACGATGACATGGTTACTGTAATTTTCATGACACATTTCAGGTTTTCATTTGAAGCACTAACATATCTGTCCCCAGCGCTTCCAGGGGGTAACTGAATGAAGAGAAGAAAAAAGGTAGCAAGCTTGGATGTGAGCGGCAGATCAGTTGCAGTAATGCTGTAGCTGGCTTGCTTGCTGGTTTAGCAAAAGTAAAAAAACCTTTACCACACCTTTAGGCACATCTGGCAAATAAATACAGGACGTTCTATAAGTTAAAATACACAGGAAAAATAAACATCTTACCAGCAGCATTACAAGCATAACCGAATCTGTTCGTCAGCAGTAGAAGATGTACATCAAAATGTGTTTTCAAAACAGTGGTATCTCATAGAGCAGTTGACAACAAAAAAAATGTGTTTATATGTTTGGAAACTGATTGGACACCGTGTAGTTATAAAACCAGTTTCAACAGTTATGAAATCATAATTTTTCCCATGTTTCAGATTGGTAATGAAGGTATAGAAAAGCTAGCCTTGTGTGCAGAGAATTTAATGAAACTCAACATCCAGCATTGCTCAGTAAGTTCTGTGAACATTTGTTCATGATCACTCATTTTTACAGGGATCTGTCAGTGGTGAGTGGTTACACACTCACCCACAGTCATGAATGTCCTGGGCACAACCCCTGTGAAGAAGAGGACCATTGTAGAAAGAAAGAATGGTTTTCGTCAAGGTGTGTTTTTGTTTGGTTCAGGGTTCGTAGTGGACCGGGAAATCGGGAAATTACCGGGATTTTTTTCGTTGACCTTGAACCGGGATTTTTAGCTTATAAAAGACATTCCGACCTTAAAAACCCGTGAATTTTGACCGCGGCAATGAAATCGTCAGAAATCCTGTGTTTTTCAGCACAGGCAATTTTGAGGGAGCCATTTGGCTTTTTTGGCCATTTGGCTAGTTTTTGGCTACTTTCGTTGTATGGTCGTTTCAGGTGTGAGGGCAGCTGATTATTGGCTATTTTCAGCCGAAATGGCTTGTTAAAGGCCAGGGGAGGGCGGGCTTTGTTGCTGATCATGAAAACATGCAGACAGCAGCGGTGTGGCATGGGGCGGGAAGTAGCAGATTCCGTCTCGCGCGCGCCTGTGTGTGTGTGCCTTTGTTTCTAGCGAGTCCGGCAGAATGAACAGTTTAAATCGTTTATGGCCGTGGTTTCTAGAAAGGATTACATTGGGAGATGGTGGGGCTCGGTGCAGTTGTATTTATAAATAGAGTCGCCGTGGTGGGGGGCTAAGCACGGCCTTCTCTATTAATTAGAGATGGCATTGGGGCTAAGCAAAGTGACTGCAGCTGGATTTCCCAGTTCTATTTTTGGCCTGGATTTATCTTTACAGTGTGTTTGGCGATCAGTATTGTAATTCCCCGAGATTCCCTCTTCTGTTGTCTCACCCCTCTCTCTCTCTTTCCCTCCCTCTTTCACTCTTCTACCTATTGCTCCTTCCTTCCCGTCTCCTGCATTGTCTCTAACCCTCCCTTCTGATCTTCATCTTCTTCTCTTTCTCTCTATCTTTTCTTTTACTCTCTCATTTCCTGTCCCCCTCCCCCTTTTTCCTATTTTATTTCTTGTTTAAATGTTTAGTAAATGTGCGGCTCCATAACTCTTCCTAGCAACTCAAGTACACAGGAAGTTGTATTGGGGGGGGGGGGGGCATTCTGTGTGAACATGGTGGATATTTTCTTTTGATGTGTTTGTTTTCCTAGCGGCCTTAATCTCTGTCCATCTCCCTTCCCGCCCCCTCACATTTTTGTCCTACCTGTTCCTCACTCTCTGACTGTCTGTGTCACTGCTTTCCTCTCTCTCTTTGTATTTGCCGCTCTCCCTCACTCCCTCCCTCTCTTTCTCTCTCTCTCTCTCTCTCTCTTTCTTTCTCCATACCTTCAGTTGGTGTATAAGGTTATGTGTTGCCTAGTGCAGAACATTTCATGTCCATCATTCCCCCTCCCACACATTAAATATATGTGTACTTTTAAAAACACATTTGCCGTCACCTTCCCCCCCCCCCCCCCCCTTTTCTCCTCCCACATTGATGACACCTAGGGGAGGGAGTGCACCCCTTCCTGCTACCTTCTTCCCTCTATATCTCATCTTATTTCTTACTCCCTTCTTTCTCTCCCTGTCTCATTCCCACTTTATTTTCTTAAACTTTATTCTCTCACCTCCTCTGTCTCACCCTTACCACCTCAGCCTTCTACACCACTTTCCACCACCTCCTCTCTCCCCCTCCTTTCTGTAATTGGAAAACCAGAAATAAAATGAAGTCCACTGCTGCCCTGACCTATTTATGTGTCTGGCCTATTTATGTGTGTGGGTAAACTTCTCTATTTTCCACCAGTGGTGGGTTGGGATCCCCTGGACTTTTTTTTTTTTCTTCATAAAATGACCTTGGCTCTCAGGTCACCAGCCTTAAGTGTAAGAAATTGAATTATTGTTGTCACACACAGATAGGACAAGCAAGGGGCAGTAGGGGTTAGCACTGTTGTTTTTGGACCATGGCCACATTCACATTGGGAGAGGGTAGGAACTGGAAAAGTGGCCTCACTTAGAGATTTCCTAATTCTATTTTGGGCACTCATTGTTCTTACACCCCCCACCCCCACAACCGTGTCTTACCTTTCTTCTCTCACCCCTTCTCTTTCCTTTGATCTTCTACTATTCTCCTTTCTCTCTCCATTCTTCCTCTCTTCCTTTCCTTGCCCTTTCTCCTGTCCCATCTCTTCTTTGTCTCCTCTCCATCCTGTCTTTTCATTTTCTCTAGATTTCCTTACCCGCTCCCCTCTCTCATTCTCTCCCCCCCCCCCCCCCCCCCCCCCCTTTTTTTACCTGGTTCATCTACATATTTTTTTGCCCCATAACTATCTTTTCCGTTGTGTAGTGGTTGTGTCCACTACACTTGAAATTGTGTGTGTGTGGGGGGGGGGGGGGGGGGGGTGGGTGTTGTTTTTTTTCTTTGAGGTATCTTGTCTCCCTTCCTTCCCCCCTCTCTTAATCTGTGTTTGTCACTGCCTTCCTTACCCACCTTTCTCTCTCTCTCTTGCTTTATGTCTGTCTGCCTCCCTTCATCACTTCCTCTTTGTATACCTCCCTCCCATTCTCCTGCTCTGCCTTTTTTCTCTTTCTTTGGTTCTCTCTCCCTCTGTCTGCTTGCCTCTCTGTGCTGTCCCTTTATCTCTCTCTCCTTTATGTCTACATCTCTCTCTGCTTGCATCTGCTTCTCACCCTGTCCGTTCTCTCTCCCTCTGTCTCCCTTCTTTCAACTCTTTGTCATATTTTCCTCCTTCCATATCTCTGTTTCGTTCCCTTTTTCCTTCTCTTTTCATCTGCCCATCTCTGTATCTGCATTCCCTCTTTCTGTATTTGTCTCCCTCTCTGTCTTTCGCTGTCCCTTCCCCACTTTTCCTCATCATGTTTCCATCCCTCCCTCTCATTTTTTCCTCCTTCCCCAGACTTCTTTTCCTTCTTTTCTCTACCTTCATCTGTCCATCTTTACACTGTCTCTCCCAGCCTACCTCAGCATGTGTCTTCCTCTCTCTTCATGACTCTCTCTCTCTCCCCTAACCCTCTCAGGTACCAGGTCCAGAACAGACAGGACTTCAGTTTGCTGCCCTCTACCACCAAGCCCTAAAAAAAAATTTCAAACACTATATCAAGCTCAGGGGCCGACCAACACGAAGATGGACACAGGATATAAGTGACTCCTTGAGTATAAAAAAGTACATGAGGCGGGAGAGCTGGTGAGAGACCGAGTTTTTTTTTGTCAGGACAAAGGAAATGCTACATGATGATGATATCTGTGCTGGTATACCAACACATGTGGCACAAATGAAGTACCTTGTGTGCTCAGTACACCCTTGAACAAGGCAAAAATCTTGTATTAGTATTACACCGAGACAACCTTGAAAAAAACTAAGAAGACCTTGAAAAAGACCTTGAAAAGCCTTGAAATTGATTGGTAAATTTGGCTATGAACCCTGTTGGTTCTTCTTGTTCTTGGTCGCTTTCACCGGCTGTAAACTGGCAGAAAGCTCTATGAGTTTGGCCACTTCTGGACTTGAGACTTGTTCCAGAACGTGAGTTTTGGGTGCACAAAAGTTTTAAAGATCTGGTTTATTAGTAAGCAGACTGTGGTTCCTCAGCTTTCAGGCAAATGCACTCCAACTTCCAATGAAACACCCCGGGTTAGTCTACTTTTATGACCTGCTTGTTGGAAAGGGGGAGGGAGGGGGATGGCAATGAGTTTGTTATTTTCCTCCACAAAATGGAGTTCTGGAGCCCACATGAAAATTTTGTTTGGGTAAAAAAAGGCATTTTGATAAATGTGCCTGTTGCAGTTTCTTATACACATTTTGTGCCGTCTCCACAGTAAACATTTGGTGCAGCCTCCACAAAAAACATGTTGTGTCGTCTCCACAGATATAATTTTTTGCTATCTCTACAAACATTTTGTGCCGTCTCAACTCAACAGTAAAAATTTTGTGCCTTCTCAACAGTAAACATTTTGTATTGCCTCTATAGAAAACATTTTGTGCTGTGTCAACAGTAAACATTTTTTTGCGATCTTCACAATAAACATATTGTGCCATTTCCACAATAACAATTTTCACAATGAACATTTTGTGCCGTCTCAGCAATAAACATTTTATGTTGCCACCACAGTAAAGTTTAGTTGCATTGGACATATGCATCCGCTTTTGTCTAAGGAATATTTACTGATGGATCACCAAACTCGTCCATGCTGTGCTCTCATATCACTGTCTATGAATCCCCAAACTCTTTCATGTTGTGCTCTCATATCACTGTCCATGAATCCCCAAACTCTTCCATGTTGTGCTCTCATATCACTGTCCATGAATCCCCAAACTCTTCCATGTTGTGCTCTCATATCACTGTCCATGGATCCCAAAACTCTTCCATTTTGTGCTCTCATATTACTGTCCATGAATCCCCAAACTCTTCCATGTTGTGCTCTCATATCACTGTCCATGAATCCCCAAACTCTTCCATGTTGTGCTCTCATATGACTGTCCATGAATCCCCAAACTCTTCCATGTTGTGCTCTCATATCACTGTCCATGGATCCCCAAACTCTTCCATGTTGTGCTCTCATATCACTGTCCATGGATCCCCAAACTCTTCCATGTTGTGCTCTCATATCACTGTCCATGGATCCCCAAACTCTTCCATGTTGTGCTCTCATATCACTGTCCATGGATCCCAAAACTCTTCCATTTTGTGCTCTCATATCACTGTCCATGAATCCCCAAACTCTTCCATGTTATGCTCTCATATCACTGTCCATGGATCCCCAAACTCTTCCATGTTGTGCTCTCATATCACTGTCCATGGATCCCCAAACTCTTTCATGTTGTGCTCTCATATCACTGTCCATGAATCCCCAAACTCTTCCATGTTGTGCTCTCATATCACTGTCCATGGATCCCAAAACTCTTCCATTTTGTGCTCTCATATCACTGTCCATGAATCCCCAACTCTTCCATGTTATGCTCTCATATCACTGTCCATGGATTCCCAAACTCTTCCATGTTGTGCTCTCATATCACTGTCCATGGATCCCCAAACTCTTCCATGTTATGCTCTCATATCACTGTCCATGGATCCCCAAACGCTTCCATGTTGTGCTCTCATATCACTGTCCATGGATCCCCAAACTCTTCCATGCTGTGCTCTCATATCACTGTCCATGAATCCCCAAACTCTTTCATGTTGTGCTCTCATATCACTGTCCATGGATCCCCAAACTCTTCCATGTTGTGCTCGCATCTCACTGTCCATGAATCCCCAAACTCTTCCATGTTGTGCTCTCAAATTACTGTCCATGAATCCCCAAACTCTTCCGTGTTGTGCTCTTGTATCACTGTCCATGAATCCCCAAACTCTTCCATGTTGTACTCTCATATCACTGTCCATGAATCCTAAAATGCTTCCATGTTGTGCTCTCATATGATTGTCCATGAATCCCCAAACTCTTCCATGTTGTGCTCTCATATGACTGTCCATGAATCCCCAAACTCTTCCATGTTGTGCTCGCATCTCACTGTCCATGAATCCCCAAACTCTTCCATGTTGTGCTCTCAAATTACTGTCCATGAATCCCCTAACTCTTCCGTGTTGTGCTCTTGTATCACTGTTCATGAATCCCCAAACTCTTCCATGTTGTGCTCTCATATGACTGTCCATGAAGCCCCAAACTCTTCCATGTTGTACTCTCATTTCACTGTCCATGAATCCCCAAATGCTTCCATGTTGTGCTCTCATATGATTGTCCATGAATCCCCAAACTCTTCCATGTTGTGCTCTCATATGACTGTCCATGAATCCCCAAACTCTTCCATGTTGTGCTCTCATATGACTGTCCATGAATCCCCAAACTCTTCCATGTTGTGCTCTCATATCACTGTCTGAAAGCCATGAAAACTATTTTTCCTAATCGTTCACCATATAAATCAAACCTAGGTACACTGAGGTTTGTGAAACATGACTCATAGTTGCAACGTTTTCAATTCTTCTTCTTATAGTTCATGCTGTGCGGTGTTGGTAGTTATGGCTATCTACAGTCTTCTGCCTTCTCTCTCTTTAATCAGTCCTTGTAGTTCATGCTGTGCAATGTTGGTAGTCATGGCTATCCACAGCCTACTGTCTTCTCTCTCTTTAATCAGTCCTCATACAAAGGATCTTCCATGCCATGATGTCAAACTGTCCTGTATCTTTTCTCTTAGTCTCTGCCTCTTTTCCCCACAGACTTTTCCACTGTCACAATGTACTCTAGTTTTCTCCTTCTCATCACATGACTAAAGAATGTAAATTGTCTCCTTCTGATTTGGGCAGTCAGTTCTCTTCTCTTAAGTCATTTTCTGTCAAGACATCTTCATCTTTATCTGTCCAGTGTATGCTCACCATTTGTCTGTAAAACCTCATCTGTTTGTTATCAGAAAGAGTTATATCCATGTCATTGTTATCTTTGTCCTTCAGAGTATCACAGATGAAGCGATTGCTACAATAGGTCTCAAGTGCCCGGGTCTAACCTTGCTGTGTGCGTCCATGTGTGTCCACCTTACAGATGCCAGTCTTGTAGCACTGGGACAAGGATGTCCTGAACTCAGGTAGGCCTGATCAGAATACACAACTTGCCAGATATGCTGTCTGTATATAGCATGTAAAGTGCTATATATTGGGTAACAGTTATGTATAAAGGCCTTAGTTTTTTTTTTAAAAACTATAGTGTCATAGAACTTCCTTTCCTTGCATCATCAGCAGCATCATCTTTTTTTTTTAAAAACCTTTATAGTGAGAATTATCATTTGGCTTTTAGTGCTGGGAGGGATGAGTTATTATACCTCCAGTGTTGATAAAGATGGCTTATTTTGCCTTCACAGCTGACAGCGACAAGTTATTTTACCTCCTGTGTTGACAGAGATGACTTGTTTTACCTTCATTGCTGGCAGAGATGACTTGTTTTACCTTCATTGCTGGCAGCGACAAGTTATTTTACCTCCAGTGTTGACAGAGATGACTTGTTTTACCTTCATTGCTGGCAGAGATGACTTGTTTTACTTTCATTGCTGGCAGTGACAAGTTATTTTACCTCCAGTGTTGACAGAGATTACTTGCTTTACCTTCATTGCTGGCAGCAACAAGTTATTTTACCTCCAATGTTGACAGAAATTATTTATTTTACTTTCACTGCTGGCAGAAATGAGTTATTCTATCTCTAGAGTTGACAGAGATGAATAATTTTACCTTCATTGTTGACAGAGATTATGTATTTTACTTAGTTTTGACAGAGATTAATTATTTTACCTTCATTGTTGATAGAGAGTTATTTTACCTTTAGTATTGACAGATATTAGTTATTTTTACCTTCAGTGTTGGCAGCACTCAACTATTTTGCCTTTATTGTTGAGAGAGATGAGTTATTAAACCTGACAAACCTTACATTTTCTAGAACAAATAGAGTAGAGATGGAACTAGAACAAATATATGTCCTGAGGAAAAAAAGTTTATTGACTAGATCTTAGCCTATATATATATATTAAAACTGTTGACATTTATTTGACATAAGCATTAAATTGGACCTTGCTTTCCACAGAACACTAGAAGTGTCAGGCTGCAATCTGCTCACAGACAGTGGTTTCCAAGCCTTGACAAGAGTGAGTCATTAGGTCACAACCCTGATGGTGTGTTTGTAATTCATTGTATAGTAAGCATTGGTTCATGAGTATAATTTGTAAGGAGATCCCTGGGGATAGTTGCTGCATCCATAGAGTTTGTGCTTTCTGCAACTCAGTCAGGGAGCAGCTAGTCCTCTGTTGAGAGAGACTGAGCCAAATGGGATTAAACAGTGCAGTGAAGCAGTTCTTTTGATTTTAAACCATTATGTAGCAAGTATCTTGGATGATTGACTGTCACACACACACGTGCAAGCACGCAAGCACACACACACACAGAGAATAAAAAAGCTGTCACTAATGTCTGTTTTACCACTTTTTGTGTGTGGTGTAGACAGGGGTTCATGAGCTTGAGGATTTTGGGCAGCAGGGCTAGTGCTGTTGCAACGAACTGTGCAGGTTAGGATGTTTAATCTTGCCCCCGACAGAAAAACTCAATCTTTTTACCCGGGGTTGAACCTGGGTCTCTCACATGAGAGCCAGACTTTGCAAACATTCGGCCAGGCGCTCCTGATGATGGGCAACAGAGATATTTTTAAGGCTTTAAACCAATTCTGTCAGCTCTGTGGCTTAGGTGTTGCGAACACACTTTGTAATGCTGGATGCTGGGTTCGATTCCAGCTGCAGCCGATTTGGCAACAGATCGTCTTGCATTGGTTTCAACAGTGTTATTGAGAGTTGATCATTCAGATATCAATGGAAAAAAAAACTGAACATAAATTTGCCTAGGAAAACCACAAAAGAAAAAATATTCTAGAGTTGGTTCTGCAACGTCCTGTAAAGGGTAGGCAACTAAAAAAAAAAAAACAGTGCCTAACCTGTTTAAGGATTCTTGTTTTCTCACTTCCGTCGTAAGCATCTGATAAGATACACCAGTATATGCCGAGCAGTTGTGCAATCAATCTCTTCTTTGTCCAGAATTACTGTGGAGAAAGATTACTTTGGTATTCAAGGATGGTTTATTTCATTATTGACTTTCTAGCCAGAGCTACACATGTCGTTTGTGATTGTGCTAATTTGAAGCTGTCAGTTTCTTCTGTTCACCTAGTAAGATTGATGATGATGATGACAACGAGAAATTTATAAGACAAAAATGAAGTGTTTGTAACTGGTGTGATGCTTATTTATATTAATGTAGACTTGTTACCTGCACAGGACTGCTAGTTATGCTTGTCTTGTGTAACTGTTACAGGTGAACTGAAACTTGGGACTGAAAGAGTTAAGGTACCAGAAAATATCTTTGGAAGTAAAGGTGACTGGCTTAGATTTGACCACCGAGTTGGTCTTTGAAGATACGAGCGTAACATTGTACTCACAGACAAACTCTGTCTTGTCTTGTGTATGCTGGTGTTAGTGTGTCTCTGTCTTGTCTTGTGTAACATTGTACTCACAGACAGGTGTCCAAAGTATAATTTCTTTAAAGGTTGAACAGGGTTTCTAGGATTAGCCCTCTTGGCTTGCCATCTGAATAGAGGTTATTTAATCTCAGGTCATCAGACATTCAGCTATCAGTGTGGAGGGGAAGAAACAGAAAGAGTGTGTAGCTGCAACAGGCAGCATCTAAACTTTGTGACATCCGTTTGTGCAGATGGAGCACCTTTGTTCCTCTGATGCCACTTATTCAATTACTGTTAACTGTACCAAACAGCTAGGGAGCTGCTGTGTTCTAGCGGCTAAACACTCACCTGCGGATCAGAAGGTTGTGGGTTTGGGTTCCGACAGGGCTCCCTTGGCTGCCAGGTTGACCCAGCCTTGAGTGGGTACCAGGTACAGTCATGATAAGTAAAGGCGGTCTAAGTGATGCTGAACACATCACCGACCAAGTGCCTTGGTCTATAAAATATAGGTCTAGCCGAATATACCTACTACCTGAAGGAGTGGAAAAGGGTAGTTTACTTTTGCTTTTTATACCAAACACCTGGCAGCTGCAGTAAAGCAGTGGCATGACAGCTTCCTATTGGTCTGGTGGTTATACGTTTCAATCCTCATTGAGGGAATTTTAAAATTAGCCTTGGCTTTCTGTTTGACACAGCTAAACTCTTTTGAGCCCCAGAGGGCTTAGCATCAGAGGCCCAAGGGATAGTCAAGAGAAAGGTAAAATCAACGCATCTTGCGTTCATTGGGCTTCTGTGTAGGACCCTATGAAGGTATGATGTGTTCCTTGGGACTGAAAGAGTTAAGGTACCAGAAAATATCTTTGGAAGTAAAGGTGACTGGCTTAGATTTGACCACCGAGTTGGTCTTTGAAGATACGAGCGTAACATTGTACTCACAGACAGGACATACGTAACATTGTACTCACAGACAGGACATACATAACATTGTACTCACAGACAGGACATACGTAACATTGTACTCACAGACAGGACATACGTAACATTGTGCTCAGACAGGACATTTGTAACATTGTACTCACAGACAGGACATATGTAACATTTTACTCACAGACAGGACATACATAACATTGTACTCACAGACAGGACATATGCTAAATGAAATAATTATTGTTTGTTGTTCTTTTAATCACTGTTGAGCATTCATTGTGATGCATTATGAGTGTGGTATTTTCTCTGATAGAGTTGTCACAACCTGGAGAAAATGGATTTGGAGGATTGTATACAGGTAGGCCAGTTGATGCCTGTGGTTTTGTGTCTCTGTCTTATTTTGTGTATGCTGGTGTTAGTGTGTCTCTGTCTTGTCTTGTGTAAGCTGGTGTTATTGCGTCTATGTCTTGTCTTGTGAATGCTGGTGTTTTTATGTCTGTCTTATTTTGTGTATGCTGGTGTTATTGTGTCTCTGTCTTGACTTGTGTCTGCGGATGTTAGTGTGTCTCTGTCTTGTCTCATGTAAATGTCTTCTACATGTGTTTGTAACTCTCTTTTCATCTCTGTTGCTCGTCATCCATACTCGTACGAGACTGCAGGTGCAGCCATTTTAGGGGCCCTAACTTCTTTAGAGATTGATCCAGGTATCTGGGTCTTATAGGTTCAACCAGGTATCTGGGTCTTATAGGTTCAACCAGGTATCTGGGTCTTATAGGTTCAACCAGGTATCTGGGTCTTATAGGTTCAACCAGGTATCTGGGTCTTATAGGTCTGCCCTCCAGAGTGAGATTTTCAATCTCAGAATGGTATTGTCAACCTCAAGGTAGGGGACACACTGATCAATTAATAAATTATTTAGTCAATGAATCAATGAGCCAACCAATCAATGAATCAAATCACTTAGTCAATAAATCAAGTAAATCAACAAATCAGTCAGTCCATCAGTCGGTCAATCAGTCTATGAATCAATCAGTCAGTGAGTTAATCAATGAATCAGTCAGTCAATCAATAAATCAAATTGATCAATCAATCACTCAGTCAGTGAATCAGTCAGTCAGTCCATCAATCATTCAATCAGTCAATCTCTTTTGCTGTGTGAATTCCAAGACAGCAAGCAGAAAAACAGATGCAATGAATGTTTGTTGGTCTCATACCATAGTTGTGGTTGTTTGTTTTGTGTGTTTGTGTGTGTGCATGCATGGGTGCGTGCCTGTGTGGGCACGCGTGCGTGTGTTGGTATGCGCAAGCAGGTGGGTGTGTGCACGTGTGTGTGTGTGTGCATGCATGCATGCCTGCGTGCTTGTGTGGGCACGCGCACGTGTGTGTGAGCACACACACACAGGTGGGTGTGTGTGTGCATGTGTATGAGTAAAAAATTCAGTTGATAATTAACCCATGTTATTATTTTAAATGTCTAGATTACAGACGCTACTCTAGGTCACATCGCAATGTACTGTCATGAGATGAGTGCTCTTGTAAGTGCTTCTGTCATAGTTTGTGTCATGTGTATGTTTTACTGGTTGTCATTGACATAATCAGTTTATGTTCTCTTACATGACATGCACTGGCTGTGTCGCTCAGGAGTGCAATTTTTATGTAGATCCCTGGGTATTGTTGCTGAAGCTGTGGAGTTTGTGCTTTGTGTGTCACTCTCAGTAGGCAGTTAACTATACTGTGGAGAGTCATATGGGATGACCCCTGATACAACAGAGTCAGTCCTATTGAGTTTAACATGAAAGACACATATGAAACAATAATAAGAAGGTGCCCACTTCCATGAAAGACACATATAAAACAATAATGAAAAAGTGCCCACTTCCATGAAAACATGATATGTTGAAAATTGGGTGCTAGGAACATAACGTAGTATAACCTTTGACCAGCTAGGGTCATGCAAGCCCTAGCACACAAAACCTACCACCTTTATCTTCTTCTGCTTCTTCTTCTTCTTCTTCGCGTTCACCAGCTGTACACTCTGGCGTAAAGTTCTGGTTGTTTGTCCACTTCTGGACTGCAGTCCTGCTCCAGAACCTGAGTGTTGCGTGTGCATCAGTTTTACAGATCTGATTCAGTTGAATGCAGACTGCTGGTTCCTTGCCTCTCCGGCAGATGCACTCCAACTTCAAAGGAAGCTCCCCAGTTAGTCGACTCTTACGACATGCTTTTGGGGAGGCAGTGGGTCTATTCTTGTTTTCCCTACAATAGGGCCCCGGAACCCACACTGGGGCTTCTGCTTATTGAATAAGCATTTAATAATAATTTAGTCTTTGTAATGAATGGGTTTGTATGTGGTTCTCGCTGTCTAGGCGGTGTTCATGCGTGTGTGGTGGATGATATTATCACACACTTCACGTTACACACCTGGCACAAGCCAACACCGATGTGAGCTTACGAGACATTACTTTATTGACGTATTACAACTTACGACAAACAGAATCGTCCAGTCGATGTCTAATTGAACCGCTTTCGTACACAAACTCACGCAGCCTTTTAACGAACAGTCTTCTGCAGGCATTCAAGCAACGATGGGTCCCATGGATTCAACACTGACGTTTGGACATCTCACACGCTGGCATGGTCGATCTCAGCTTAACATTTCGTCGGCAGGTCTCCTTTCTCCTCAGGCACTCACGTAGACATTCGCACATTCAGACACTCGTCCTCTCGCTCCAACAGGTCGACACAAACTAAACTTGACCAGAGTCAAGTCTGACTTATACCACGGGTTCTTTTCACGTGACAACACGTGGTGGTCCTTTACTTTTCCCGTGGCGACCTTGGGTCGCATCACCGTGGTCCCCGTGATAACTAGTGGTTAGTCACCTATCTCCAGATTCTCGTTTAATCCAAGTATCTGGACTATCTCGGTGTTTTCGGTCAGCTTTGGGCCTTCCCCCCAACCATCCTAAACTGGGTCGAAAATATCCCCCATTACAGTCTTGTCCATTTCTTTTCATTCCTGTTTCTTCTTTGCCCCGCCCCTCTCCTCCTCCTCCTCTTCCTCCAGTGTTCCTTGAAGTAGTCTTTGCAGTCTAATCTTACCTTATCACATGACGGAACCAAACTAGCTAGTGATGTTTCGCCGCTGCCAAAAGAGGCTCCTTTTGTCCTGCCAATGTGTTCATTTTGTCTCTTACATTTTTGTTAGTTTTTATGTTCTAAACACTCGGAGCGTATTTTCTGCCAAAAGGCATTCACTAGGTGATGTGGTTTATTAAATTACTACTTCTTTTTTCCTTTGCTTGAAATAGATTATTAGTATCTGCAGTGTTGTCTCTGCTATGAACTTTACTGTCTTTTGTAATTCACTCAGTGACACATTAAAGTTTGGCCTGCACTGGTGTTTGTCTTGCCCTGAAGTTTAGTCTGGTTATTACTTGTTTCATCTGTCTACTAAACAAGAGTCGATGTCTGTGGTTTAGGCATTGCAAACGCACTTCGTAATGCCGGGTTACCGAGCTCAATCCCAGCTGCGGATGGCTTGTCTTGCGTTGGTTTTGACAGTGGTACCAAGAGCTGACCATTCAGATGGCATTGGCAAACTACTGAACGTAGACAAAAACCTTCTTCTTCTTTTGTCAAAATCTGCTTGTGCCGCTAGGCGTCGCAGTCTATCAGATGATCGGCAACCGAGCCAGGGCGCGCTCAGTCGCTTCATATGCCGTGATGTTATGATGTCTTAAGTTGTCCGTGACTCCTTCAATCCATCTTCTTCTTGGTCTTCCCCTGCCTCTTGGTGTTTCGATTTTCATGTTGTATGCTCTTGATGCTGGCATCGTTGGTTCCATTCTCACTAGGTGACCAAACCATTTCATTCTTTGCTCCTCAATAAATTTAACGATGGGTATGGTTCCAATAGTTCTTGTAATCACATCGTTTCTCACTCGATCTCTTCTGGTTTTATTCGCAGCCATTCTCAAACATCTCATTTCACAGGTGGTTAGTCTTCTCTCGTGTTCTTTTGTTAATGTCCAAGTCTGACATTGATAACCTAATGTCGGTATAAAGATTGTATTTATAATTTGTCTTTTTATCTCAGCTGGGACAGCAGGGTGTTTTAAAATTGGGGCAAGCTGGTATGCGACATTGTTGGCTTGTTGGATTCTTGCTTCGATCTCTCTGTCTATTTTACCAATTGAATGTAAAAGATACTTCCCAAGTATTTAAATTCTTGCACTTGTTTTAGGCTGTGATCTAGAATCTTTATGTCGATGGTCTGTTGCTCTCTACTTATGCTCATGACTTCTGTCTTTTCAGTATTGATCTTCATATGATGCTTGAGGAAACTGTCGTGTAGTAGGTTTATGTGGTCTTGCAGCTGTTTACTATCACTGTGAAAAATGCAATGATCGTCGGCAAAGAGCAGCTCATTGAAGTCCTCCTGTTTATCGACATCTGTTGGTGTTATGTCTATTTTATTAATATTGTCCATAAATATTATGAAAAGTAAAGGTGATAATACACAACCTTGTCTTACTCCTGATGTTACTGGGAACCAGTCTGTGATGCCAGCTCTTGTTCTAATGGCGCTTTCACTTTGTCTATAAATAGCCCTAACACAATCTAAAATTGTTCCATTTATACCATAGTTTTCAAGAACTTTCCATAATAAATTTCTGTTTAATCTATCGAAAGCTTTTTCTTGATCTATGAAAGCGATGTTCATTTGATGTCTGTGTTCTATTGACAAAAACCACAACAGCCAAAAAAAATCACAAACAGCCAAAATAAATGCTGGTGTCGGTTCTGTGACGTCCTGTAAAGGTTACGCAGCTGACTTTAACTAAACAAGAATTATCACTAACTTTCTCTATATTTTGCATAGTTCTTCTGTGAGACAGATCTTTCTTCACCTTGGCTGAATAATTGGTTTTACCTTACTCAGCTTGTTCCTGTTTGGTTAACTTTTGATGTAAGATAAGGTAGCTAACTCCGAGACCATCTCTGCCCTAGTCAATTTATGTTGGCTGTTCTTTGCTTCCTCTAAGAAAATGACTGCTCACAGGAACATAAATGTTTTAGTCAATCTACATTCTTTGATCATGTCGTGAGCAGGAGAAAACTGGAGTACATCATGATGGTGGGAAAGTTGGAGGTGGAGAGAGGCAGAGGAAGACTGAGAGCGAAGATACTGGAGTTTGACATCATGGCATGGAGGACTATCTGTCTGTAATGAGTCATTTTCTCATTGTTTAGAAATGAGGACAACTTCTAGACATACATTATGAGCGAGAATTATTATGGATGGCATTGATTACTAATTATAGTGTACCTGTGAACAGCTCAAGTAAGCGATACTAACTCAAGGCAAACAAGCTACATGTGTTGCTGTCACCCTAGACTTCAAACTTCTGGCTTACTGACCGAGAGGAACGTCACTGGAATAACAATATTTATCAGCTGTGCAGTGTTCTTGACGTTTGTTTATGTTCAAGCTTACTGTGTTAAAGTATATATCTTTGTGCCTGAGCAAGATGCATGAGTTGAGCCCAAGAAGAGTCATTGCATATCAGAACTGATTAAAAGTACATGAGACAGAAGGTTGTGGGTAGACATGACTACCAGTAACCGCATGACATGGACTATAACAAGTAGTAGTTCCATTGCCCATTTTATACTTACTGTTTTCTACCTGTCTTTATGTTGCCAGTCTTTGTCTCACTGTGAGCTGATCACAGATGAAGGAATCCGCCAGATTGGCTCCAGTCCTTGTGCCATGGAACACCTGCAGATCCTAGAGCTGGACAACTGCCCACTCATCACAGACGCAGCACTAGAGCACCTCATGGGCTGCCAGTCTCTCCAGAGAATTGAAATCTATGACTGTCAGCTGATAACCCGAGCTGGGATTCGACGACTACGGGTAGGGGATTACTGTCGGGCTCTGCTAGTTTTATTTGTTTCTTATTTATGTATAGTCTGGTTTCAACTGGCACAAAACACATAAATAAAAAGATTTAAAGGCCAATTTCTGTACTGTAATCTATATCTATATATGTTTTTTTGTTGTTGCTTCTTATCCCCTGACAGCAACACACCTTTCTGTCCATTTCCATCTTATCCAGCTCTTACAGAACTCTTCTTCCTGTCTCCAAGCTCTGAAATCAGTGGGAAATGCAAGACAAGTCCTAAAAACTTCATATCTCGGTGAAACATGTGAGAATGTAACCAGGACATTACTTACCACAGCACAGCTGACTTGAATGGTTCAGTCATGTGTCAAGACTACCACCAGATAGTCTACCACAGAGATCCCTGTCACTTATCTTCACACTAAATCCCTTTGACTTCCAAATATTGTTTAGCATGGCAAATGCTTGATTTGCTTTGCTTATTCTTGATATCACATCCTTTTCAGAATCTCCATCTGGAGTAACTTATAAATTCTTCAACTTCCTCTATTGCTTCATCATTTAAGATAATTGGATTTTCTGTTTTTGTTATTTATTTTTCATTACTTTAGTTTTACTGGTGTTTATTTTGAGTGCTATCTTAAGGGCTGTTGTTGAAAGTCTTTCAATCTTTTCCTGAGCATCCACATAACGGCTTGATATAAGGCTGATGTCATCTGCATTGTTCACTTCCTCTAAAACAGAGGTGATTGATCACCTGATGCCTCTTTGTTTAAATCTCGTGTAACTTCCTTCATCAGCCAGTCAATGGCCACATTGAACCAAAAGGGCGATAGAATGCATCCCTGTCTGACTCCTGCGTTGACAAAGAGACTTTCTGTCGTATGATTATCACAAACTACCTTGCATTGAAACTCTAAGTAAATAGCTTTGATCCAATGTACTATTTTCTGTGGTACACCATAGTGACGCAACATTTTCTGTGGTACACCACAGTGACGCAAAATCTTCCACAGTGATTCCCTATGCAGGCTATCACAGGCTTTGTCAAAATCCACAATGGTCATATAAACTGCACTATTCCATTCGTTACTTTGTTCACTTTTTTGACGCAGTGTGAAGATGTGATCAATACATGATTTCCCCTTTCTGAATCCTGCTTGCTCTTGCCCTAATCAAGTGCTAGAGTAATTCTTTTAAGAATTATCCGGCTAAAGATTTTACTAGTTACTAATAGCAATGTGATACCTCTCCAGTTGTTAGAGTTTCCTAAATCTCTTTTTTGGTTATTTAATAATAGTGTCCTTGTTCAACTCCTGTGGGATTTCTTCTTTGTTCTAGATTTCTTGAACAATCTTACACAATAGTTTTGGCGTTTCAGTTTCTTCCACTTTCAGCATTTCTGGGCAGATTCCATCACACCCAGGTTCTCTGTTAACCTTTTGAGCTTTATCTCCTCCCTAACCTCAGACTCTGAAAAAGGCTCTAGGCTTATCTGTAGGTCTTCCTGTGCCCCAGGTATATCAGCAAGTACATGTGGGTCTGAACAGTTTAGTAATTCCTGGAAATGTTCTTTCCACCTTTCTAATTTTTCTTTCTCCGCTGTAATCATTTTCCCTCTCTTTGTTTATAAAGGCAAATTTCCGTGCGATACCACATTTCCTTTCAGTTTCTTAGTTATGTTGTACAATGTTTTGATGTCCTGCTTATTTGCTGCTTCCTCTGCTTCTGTTACTAGTTCTCCAATATACAAAAGTTTATCTGCTTTTGCTCCTGCTTTAACCTCATTGTTCTTTAGTGCATATTCTTTAGAAAATGTTCCTTTCAATCTGGCTGATTTTGCATTTAACATTTGTCTTTTAATATCTTTCTGTTATGCTATTTTCTCCCACGTTGATTTGGAAATCCACTCCTTTTTCTTTGACCGCCTATATCATAATATTTTCTCCCCTGCTAATTTGAGTTCTTCATTAAATTTGTTGATTACCATTTCTGTTTCTTCTGGTAAAATGCTGAATCTGTTTTTGAGTTCTGTCTTGAATTGCTGTTTAATATGTGTGTCCTGCAAATTAGGTAAGCACATTGTCATCATGTAGCAGGTCGAGTGCAGAAAATCACTCTTATCAGAGCCCACCTAAATGTAATTCAGTCTCTGACCAGATTGTCTGCCTCATTCACTTTTCTACCCAAGGTGTCACTTATATCCTATGCCCATCTTTATGCTGGTTGGTCTCTGCCCCTCTCTCCTGGCACAATGCCTTCTACTACTATACTTTATATATACATATATAATTTTTTCTGATAGGCAAGCAGACTCACCAGTGTTCATCCAGAGCCCCTAGCAATGATGTTAATGATAAAACTGATGTTGAAAAATATCAGTAATAATGATTATTATTTTGGTCAACTTTTGCAGTGCCGCCTACCAGATATTTTGGTGCATGCCTACTTCGCTCCAGTGAGTCCGCCCACGTCTGTCGGTGGGGGCAGACAGAGATACTGTAAATGTTGTGTCATCCTCTGATGCCGAGACAGCGTGTAGACTGCAGCACTATAGACCATGTTCAGGTAGGACAGTCCAGGATCTTCTCAACATTAGTTACATTATACACATTTTTGTTGGCTGCCTCAAGTACTTTCACCAACTAATTCATAGTTACCTATTTATTTTCAGCTCTGTGGCTTTAGGTTAGTAAATTTGTTACAACTTTCACAGTCCTTAATGAAAAAGGGTTTGATTCTCATGGTGGATGTTTAATGTTAATAAAACCCTCATTCTCTTGTCAGTCAGACTGTGGTATGAGAATCGTGCTGTGGAAGAGATGGAGATCTCACCATGTAAGATTCTCAGTGACAGCACTAGGGCACTGCAACCAGCCTTCATTTTGAATGTGACAGTTTTCCCCCCAGAAGCCATTAATTTTAAACAGCGAATTCCTAGTTTTTTAACTGTTTCCCCATATGGATTCTGGAGTCTCATTTTAGGACCCCAAAAAATGGACTAGACTTACTTGCCCTCATAACACATTTTTTATAAAAGGAGACCTTCGCAGAACTGGATACAAGACAAAGAAGATGTATTGGCAGTGAAAACCACATTGGGCTGGAGAATTGGCCAGAGAAAGAATTTTTAAGGCATGTCACGACGAGAGAGCCATTCTGTACAGGATCTGCTGGTTCATGATGAGATTTGTTTCAAATCAGTTCCTGGGGTATTGAATGTGTCTCTTCTGTGAACAGTCAGTATTACCCCACACTGATTAGTTTCAGATCAGTTCCTGAATTATTGAATGTGTCTCTTCTGTGAACAGTCAGTATTACCCCACACTGTTTTGTTTCAGATCAGTTCCTGGGGTATTGAATGTGTCTCTTCTGTGAACAGTCAGTATTACCCCACACTGATTTGTTTCAGATCAGTTCCTGGGGTATTGAATGTGTCTCTTCTGTGAACAGTCAGTATTACCCCACACTGATTTGTTTCAGATCAGTTCCTGGGGTATTGAATGTGTCTCTTCTGTGAACAGTCAGTATTACCCCACACTGATTTGTTTCAGATCAGTTCCTGAATTATTGAATGTGTCTCTTCTGTGAACAGTCAGTATTACCCCACACTGATTTGTTTCAGATCAGTTCCTGGGGTATTGAATGTGTCTCTTCTGTGAACAGTCAGTATTACCCCACACTGATTTGTTTCATTTTCCTGTTTGTGTCTCAGTTCCTGTCAGTATTGACACTGATTTGTTTCAGATCAGTCCTTCTGTGAACAGTCAGTATTACCCCACACTGATTTGTTTCAGATCAGTTCCTGAATTATTGAATGTGTCTCTTCTGTGAACAGTCAGTATTACCCCACACTGATTTGTTTCAGATCAGTTCCTGAATTATTGAATGTGTCTCTTCTGTGAACAGTCAGTATTACCCCACACTGATTTGTTTCAAATCAGTTCCTGAATTGTTGAATGTGTCTCTTCTGTGAACAGTCAGTATTACCCCACACTGATTTCTTTCAGATCAGTTCCTGGGGTATTGAATGTGTCTCTTCTGTGAACAGTCAGTATTACCCCACACTGATTAGTTTCAGATCAGTTACTGAATTATTGAATGTGTCACTTCTGTGAACAGTCAGTATTACCCCACACTGATTTGTTTCAGATCAGTTCCTGGGGTATTGAATTTGTCTCTTCTGTGAACAGTCAGTATTACCCAACACTGATTAGTTTCAGATCAGTTCCTGAATTATTGAATGTGTCTCTTCTGTGAACAGTCAGTATTACCCCACACTGATTTGTTTCAGATCAGTTACTGAATTATTGAATGTGTCTCTTCTGTGAACAGTCAGTTTTACCCCACACTGATTTGTTTTAGATCAGTTCCTGAATTATTGAATGTGTCTCTTCTGTGAACAGTCAGTATTACCCCACACTGATTAGTTTCAGATCAGTTCCTGAATTATTGAATGTGTCTCTTGTGTGAACAGTCAGTATTACTCGCTATTTTGTGTTGATTTTGACCACATAGATTCCCCGTGTGGGTTCCGCGGCCCCATTGTGGGGAAAACAAGAATAGATCCACTGCCTCCCCAAAAGCATGTTGTAAGAGTCGACTAATTGGGGAGCTTCCTTTGAAGTCGGAGTGCATCTGCCGGAGAGGCAAGGAACCAACAGTCTGTATTCAAGAGAATGAGAGTTGTAAAACTGATGCACACGCAACACTCAGGTTCTGGAGCAGGACTGCGGTTCAGTAGTGGACGAGCAACCAGAATCTTCCGCCGGAGTGTACAGCTGGTGAACGCGAAGAAGAAGAAGAAGAAGAAGACCACATAGATGCAGTGGTGAACTACTGATCTTCTGTACCATCACAAACAACCAGCAAATGCCTCTGTTGGTTTGTGATGTCCTGTAGAGAATATGCTACCAAGTTCAACCCACACTCTATTAGTTTCTTCCTTGTGATTTATTTTACCAAATTGATTATTTGATCAGCTACTGACTATTGGTCTGTTACAGTGTCCTATCCTTGAAGGTGTTTGTGTTACACATTTTGTTACCATCATTAAAGTGGAGGTTGGCTACAGTTGATCATTGCTTCTTCCTATAGTCTGTGTCATACACATTAGTAGTCATAAGATTCCAGAACCTTCTGTTTCACGTATTTCACCTTTAACAGGGGTAAATCTCGTGGTGAGACCCCTATCCCTTCCATGATGTCAGTTTTGTTTCTTCTTCTTTGCATTCACCAGCCGTGAACTCCAGCAGAAATATCAGGTTGTTCGTCCACCACTTGAGTCTTGTTCCACAACCTGAATGTTGCCTGCACATCCATTTTAGCCATCTGACTTATTTGTATTGCAATCTGTTGGTTCCTTGCTTCTCAGGCAGATGCACTCTGACTTTGGAGGAAGCCTCTAGCTAGTTGACTCTTATTCATGCTTTTTTTTTTTAGGGAGGCGGTGGGTCTAGTCTTGTTTTCTTCACAATGGGGCCCAGATGACATTGATACCACTGTCTGAAACAAACGAACGAACAAACTTGATTTTTAAAGGGTTAAGAATTGGGCACGCAGGCCATATAACATTCTGCCCTTCGAGGTCTCCCTCCGTTCTTACATCATTTCATTCACACATCAAGTAATATTAAAAGTAAAAGCCAGGAGAAGGGTGTTTTCTAAACTGCATAATGCAAGAATTAAACTGTCGTAGATGTCAGGAATTGCATTTTGAAACAATTTCACTAACATCTTAGTCGCTTATTAAAATTAATATTATTCTCTGTTTTATTTAATATATCTTTAATTATTTACAAAATACTGACTTTTTACCTCCTCCACAGAAAGAGTTCCTTTTCTGAACTCTTCTACTCATGGGAACAGTTTTAGAGTCTGAACCTGAGGTATCTAAAATATTTGTATTTCAAGATTGCCTCAGAGATTTTGTGTGGGATGATGCTGCATCCGTCGAAAGGCTCCAAGAAAGATCACTCTTGTTTTGTGAATTTGACAGTTATAAAGGCCTGATCATTGATAATAAGACTCAGAAGTTCTTTCGTTAAATGGAACTAAACATCTTTGGTAATAAATTTGAAGGAACTAATGATGTTTGCATAAAATTGACACTAGTTGTGTTAATGGGAACTAATGATTTTTGATAATACTTGAAAAGGAACTAATGTTCTTTGCTGCAGAATAGCAGTAGTTCTTTTGTTAAATGGAGTAAACAGTTTTTGGTATCATATAGGGAACTAATGATTTAGTTCTTATGTTAATGGGACGGGCACTCATAATTCTTTGTAATAAATTAGAAACAACTGTTTAATTAAAAATAACTGTAGTTCTTGTGTTAAAGGGTATTTTAAACTTGATAATAAATCGGAGGGAACCAGGAAATTTTGTTCATGAGTACTTAGTGTTATTCACCACTTGTTTTTTCTTTATCTTTTCTTCTGCTAAAGAGAATCATCTGTACGTAGAAATAACAATCACTATTTTGTAAGGGATGACTAATGATCAGCATTGTGGGTTAAAAAAAAAGATATTTCTTTGATTTCAGGACTTTGTTGATGTTTGGTGGTGATAATTAATGGTTCTTTTATTTAAAGGAACTAGTGACCTTTTAATTAGTTTGTTGTTGTAAGGAACTAGGGACCCTTTTAGTAAGTAATTCTTTTACTAGACGTGACTATTGATATTTGTTAGTTTATATATTTCTGGCAACGTGTTCTTTTTCAACATTAGCCTGAAGAAAGGAAATAACTTTACTGGTAAAGTTCCTATGAATAGTGAACTAATGATCTTTAAAGACAAGTATAATTAGTTCCTTTTATTAATGGAACTAGTAATGTTATGTGTCTTGACACCTTTCAGACTTTCCAGACAATAGTGTTATGTTGTGAGCTCGATAGGCATGTGTAATGTGCGTACAATTCAGTAATTACAAATGTGATTATTCTGAAGTCATGAACTGGTCCTGGAACTAGTTTGGTTGAGTTACAGACAAAGCATTTTGCTCTGGTTGTAGTATGATAAACTGACTGTAACATTTGAATAGTTTATGAGTATTATCATGACTAAATGTTGCATTTGGGTAGTTTATGGGTGATTTCATGACTGAATGTTGCATTTGGGTAGTTTATGAGTGATTTCATGACTAAATGTTGCATTTGGGTAGTTTATGAGTGATTTCATGACTAAATGTTGCATTTGGGTAGTTTATGGGTGATTTCATGACTAAATGTTGCATTTGGGTAGTTTATGGGTGATTTCATTTTTAAATGCTGCATATGGATGGTTTATGAGGGATTTCTTGTCTAAATGTTTAAATGTTGCATTTGGCTAGGGGTTTGAATGTTATACAACTAAATGTATTTGGGTAAGATTTTGAATGATTTCATGGCTGAACTTTGCGTTTGGGTAGGGGTTTGAATGTTATACAACTAAATGTATTTGGGTAAGATTTTGAATGATTTCATGGCTGAACTTTGCGTTTGGGTAGGGGTTTGAATGTTATACAACTAAATGTATTTGGGTAAG